GACAAATATTCACATCGAAATGGAAGACGGTGCACAAGAAAATTAAAAAGTTTTAGTGATTTGTTTATTAAATCATAAATATTTGAACCTAATTATGGAAAATATGCCTGGGCAAGAAAAAAATCTGAATGAAAATGTTATCTTACAAATTAAAGAGCTATTTTTTAGTCTCGAAAACTTCTTAAAATACGGCTTTTTGCACTTTTTTCTTTTTCTTCTTTTTCATTTTGGTTTTTTATTTTCTCTCAAACTTACAACACGAAATCAAACAGCAGATATTATTGTTACCTCCTATTTCGCTGGTAACAAAATTTACAGGGTAACAGTGAGCTCAGAATACGAAATGGTAACAAAATTTACTGAATGGTCAATTTTAATACCTAGGTAAATTTTGTTAACTCGACAGAATAGGCCTGTTTATGGGTGTTAGTACAGCGTATTGCGTTGCCGAGCATCATTGCTGCTGACCAAGAGCTTTCAAAGACCTTGTATTCTGTACCCAGAAATCCTTACGAGGATGAGCCTGACTTCAAAAGAATTTAAAATTATTAAAAATTTATATGAAATCTCACGGCCACAGGTCTTTTAGTACATACAACAATCGCTGTTTAAATTAATATTTTTTTTTGTTTATTTTATATTTTAATTTTTTTTTATATAAAGACATTCCTATATTCTTCTTTCCATTAGGCCATATCGGGCGTCTGAAGCATCATATACCCAGCATTGTGTAATAAAGTTTCTTATAAAAACAATTTTAATTATTTTTATTAACCATTTTCGACTAATAGCAAATAATATTTTAAATTTAAATTAATAAATTAAACCAATTAAATCAATTAAAAAATTATAAAATATGCAATTTCCAAATAAAAACTTTTTTTCCAATTAAGCAATAATTATTAAAAATAATTAAAGCTTAAGTATAATCGAAATTTGTTTATTTAATTGCAATATATCTTCCAAATAATTATATACACATATATATATATAAAATACTATGTCTAATATTAGTTACTTTATATAAATAAATATGTATGTACATAAGTATTGTAGAAGAGACTCATTTATAGGTTGCTGTTAGATAATTGAGATTGCGTGTCGTACATAGAGACGTTTTTGTTAATTTCTACATAAGTAATAATGTATAATATAATACATGCATGCATGCATACATACAAACACGCTAGATTGTGACCAAATGCTAACTGATGATATAATGAAATTGTAACACCAATATTAATGAAGGAATAAAAGTATGCAATGCAATGATGAAATCAAACAATTAAAAATTGAAAAATAAGAGAAAATTAAAAAAAAATAAAAAAATTAAAAAAAGTAAAATAAAAAAAATTTAAATAAAAAAAATTAAAAAAATTAAAATAAAAACCTAGAAATAGATCTAAAATCAAAAACTAAAAATAAAAAACGGATCGATGATAGTATTTCTATGTGCAACCTGAAAAACTATGGAAAATCACTTAACACACTTATATTTACCTAAATGTATGTATGTCTGTGCATAGATGTTATAGAGCGTGAAATTAAAAATAAATTTACAATAAAGAACAAAAATATTTATTAATTATAAATGACACAAAAACAACATAAAAATATATGCAATAATAATAATAATAATAATAACAACAAAAAATCTTAGGTACTTGTAAATTAACTATGTACTCGTATGGCAAGCAACAAAAAGCAACAACAAACTTTTTAATAATAATAAAACATAACAAATACATACATATATGTATTGTATGTATGTATAAGCTACGAATATCATAAATTAATAAAAATTTTAATGGCAAGTAAAGCAAGGCATTTTTCAATAATTTCGCCGAGTTTTTGGTATAATTTTTCGGCCAAACCTTTGTAGATGGTAAACCACAACGGAGGAGGATGATACAAATTTGCTATTGAATTCGATATTATTTATTAAAAAAAAAGGTAAGGCATAGTTTACTTTACTTACTATACTGGCGTAGACACCGCTTACGCGATTATATAATAGCCGATTTAACGATATTACGTCATTCGTTTCTTCTTTTTGCTGTCTGGCGCCAATTGGAGATACCAAGTACAGCCAGGTTCTACTAACAGAGTGGTGGTCTTCCTCTACCTCTGTTTCCAGCAGCGTCGAAAATCGGAGTATTCGTAACCATCCCCTGACCACATGACCTAGCCAACGTGGCCGTATAACTCGTACAACTCATCATTCCAACGAATGCGATATTCGCCGTTGCCAATACGCAAAGAACGCCGACTAATCAGATGTTGTCATCGCCCATACTTCCACACCGTAAAGCAGGACGGGAACGATGAGGGACTTGCAGAGTTTGGTTTTCATTCCCCGAGAGAGGACTTTACTTTTCAACTGCCTTCTGAGTACAAAGTAGCACCTGTTGGCAAGAGTGATTCTGCGCTGAATTTCAAAGCTGATATTATTGGTTGTTGAGGCCGATAATGTCGTACGCCAGTAATTGTACACTCTTATAGAAGATAGTACCTTCTCTATTCAGCTCTACAGCTCATATCATTTTCTCCAGAAATAGGTTAAAAAAGTCATACGATAAAGAGTCACCCTGTCTGAAACCTCGCTTGGTATCGAACGGCTCGGAGAGGTCCTTCCCAATTATGACTGCGCTTCTGGTGTTGTCTAGCCGTCAGACCGGCGTAAAAGCAGCTCCTATTCGTGCTGCCGAAGTCGGCTTTAAAATTGACGTAGAGATGGTGGCTGTCGATCCTCTTCTCACGGGTTTTTTTCCAATGTTTCGTGCAAGGTGAATATCTGTTCAATGGTTGACTTAGCAGGTCTGAAGCCACACTGATGAGGTCCAATTAGTTTGTTGGCGGTAGGCTTCAGTCTTACACACAATACGCTCGACAGAACTTTATAGGCGATATTAAGGAGGTCTATCCCACGGTAAATTCCAATGCAGACTGTAGGGTCGCCGTTTTTATGGATTGGGCAGAACACATTTAAATTTAAATCGTCGAGCATGCTTTCGTCCGACCATATTCTGCAAAGTAGCTGTTGCATGCACCTTGTCAGCTCTTCACCGTCATATTTGAACAGTTCTGCCGGCCAGCTCACACCGCTTTGTTGTTTGCCAAACTTGCGTTTGCTATTCGACAAGAGATAGTTTGGACAATATGATTTCACTCTATTGATTTCTACTTAAAATCCCTTTATGAGTACAAAAAGATCCTAACATCTGCCCCGATCTAACCACGATCACAAAGAGCTTGAAGCTGCAAACGTTCTGGTGTCAATCTTTAGGGAACCATAGGTTTCAAGAGGAAAAAAAATCCAAATTGCTTCCGCCCATCCGCACGACCTAGTTGTTGTTGTAGCCTCAAAAATGTTCTCCGCAATAGCTTTTGGGGAATGCTGCGGGAGTGACTTCGCAGGATGAAAATCCGTGTTCTTTCGGCTTAAATCCAGACTGTCCCGTAACTGTTGTTATTATAGTAGCCTCTTACGGCAGGCATGCCTACCCGCGGAGAAATTCTTGAACCCTTACATCGGTGGGATCAACGTAGCTGCTGTCTCTTTATACACAGAATTATGCACATGGATTAGGCTCGGTCTCAAATCCTGATGTCGTACTAACATTCAAAAAGTTATGGATAATTAATTTAAGTAAAAAATTAAGTCAAATTCGTAGTAGTTCCGACATGAAATAAAGGCTCCTCGTAAAAAAAATCATCATCCGTTCGGAGGCGACTTAGCAATAACTGCAGGTCCCTCCATTTGTTGCAAAAGTATCAAGACGCAAAACCACAAATTGGAAGAGGAGCCCGTCCGAAAAATCGCTTCAGCGGTTACAAAGCGCCAATTATATAAAACCCTATTCGCCAGCTTCTTAAAGCTATTTATGCTCTCGCATTATATTTTTGTTTGCAAATGTGGTTTACTTTCTTCTTCAGCTCTCGCTATCTATCCCACCCGGACGTGTCAAGAACGATCTAAACATTGCAGCGATGTGTCAAAGGAGCTCTCACAAACCAGAAGTGCAAGTTGAGTATAAAACCGTTCATATGTCTGTGAGGGTAGCTTCAGACAAATCTTGTGTCTGTTGACGGTCGTTCTTTGCGGCACTTTTTCGGGTGTATAAGGTTCCATCCCTTCTTTGCCCATTCTGGCCCATAAAAAGCATCTATGGTCACAAAATCTCACTTCAGCTAGGCTACAAACGGTTGTTTTTTTGGCTACTCATAGAATACTTAATCTAACTGTTGAAGAAGCTACAGACCTGCCAAAATATCGCCCTTAGGAACGTGACAGAAAACCTTTTGATGTCGCCTGACCATCACTTGCACAGCGAAGCATCTATGCAGGGAGTTAAGGAGCATAATTTTTTGGTCCTGTTGGGATGTTACCGCATTGTGTTTGCTTCTCATATATCAATATGCACCGAATACATATATACTTATATATATAATTTTTTTCATAAATTTTTATGGTTTATTGAATTAAATTTTACTTGAATTCATGTGTTTACAGGTTGAAGCCTTATAACTAATTTGTATTTGTAAGTGTTTCTAATACTAATTTATATTTATTTTAATTTTAGTGCAAATTGTTTTGAATAAAAGTTTAAAAATAGGGAAAATAAAATATAAATAAATAAACACATTTACAGTTACATCATGTACGCGTTTATGTTCATTGGAATTCCTTTAGAATCGCGAAGGGAAAGAGAAAAAAGAAAAAACAAATTAAAAATAAGTTTCCTGATTTATTGGTAATGTTTTAGATTTCCCTTAGCACTAGCGCTTATAATGGTATTTCTATGCATATTATAATATATATTTGTAAACAATTAGATAATTACATGTATGTTGATGTAGTAAACGCCTCAATTAACAGTTGCTTAATAACTTCATTTTTCAAATGAAATTCGGCAGAGCAAAATTTTTTATTTTTTTATTTATATATGTATATGTATATGTATGATATAAGTTTACTACATACATACATATTATTTCATTGCTTGAAGTATTGATTACAGAAATTATAAATAAAAGTTGCATTTAATATTATTTATTTTTAATTATGCTGGCAATTCAAAACGAGCAAAAACCTTTTTCATTCAATTTGCAACCAAAAATGTTTCAAAGTAAATAAATTAGACCGTATATAACTAATAGAGAAAAAAAATACTTAACATTCATTTCCGCTTCAGCGGAATAATATAGAACAAAAAAGAAAAATAACGGTATATGTACTATTTGAAATTATTATAAATAAGTGTATGTAATATAAATATTTAGCATTGGCAGGTAGCAAGTGCAGCGATTATTAACTTCTACTACTACACCGCCAAAACGTCACTACTACTGCTACGGCTCGACTTATTGCCCGTCTTTGGCTTGATTTCGGTTAGTGACACCGAGCCGGGACCATTAAGGAAATGCATTTTCACATGCTTCTGCAGCTCCTGCTGCGAATCGAAGAACAAACGGCATAGATCACAAGAGAAGCGTGCTTTGGGCGCCGGCGCTGGCGCTTTAGACGCTTGCGATGAGCTATCGCCAGTGTCCACATCACTATCGGCATCCGAATCGTTATCATCCTCATCATCATCTTCGTCGTCGTCATCATCGTCGTCATCTTCATATGAAGTTGTTGTATCTGTTGATATGCGATTTGGTTGCGCTTTTGTTGTCGCCGGTGGCACACGACCATAAGTCGGACCATTTGTTGTGGCAACATTATCATTTATATCTTCATCGATGTCATCAGCATCATCCGCGTCTGCGTCTTCTTCGCCTTCGCCTTCGCCATCGCCATCATCATCATCATCCTCATCATCCTGCTCTACTGCCGCTTCATTACTAGCGCGTTCAGTCATATTGACCTGCATCATGCTGCCCATATCCTCGTATTCTTCATCATCTGCTTCTTCTTCAGAAGCCTCTTCATCGACTTCTTCCATGTCCGAATCTTCTTCGGGCTTACGTACCTCACTTACCGCCTTTTGCTGCTCCTCAACTTCCTCCTCCTCCTCTCCCTCCTCTGCTTCACCATCTAACTCACCAGCTTCCTCTTCGGAATCCTCCTCTCCCTCCTTATCTACATCATTGTACTGTTCATTATTATCAACATCCAATTCTCGCTTCACCTTCACTTCACCACCATCCCCAGCAACTGTACCTGCATCCGTCGCTGTCACTGTGGCCTTTGCATGATTCTGATTTTGATCATGGACCTCCTGCGGGTCGTCTACCGGCACAATTTCCTTCTCCTTCAAGTGATTGTTGATGTGATTAATCAATTTCTCTTTGCGTGAAACATATGCACCGCACAGATCACAACCCCATTGGAAGGGTCCAAAGGGTTTCGTTACACGTGCATCGGCCACCTTATGATCAATCCATTCGTTCTTTGTTTCGAATTGCTCTTGGCAGCGACGGCATTGCAAGTACGGATCAATTTCGATTTTCGGCGGCACCGGCAAATTGCCAATTTCATCTTTATGCAATTCATAGATATGACGACGCAGGTTGTTGTTACTAATGAATGTGGAGGGGCAATATTCACATTTAAGTTCGCGTTTGCGTTTCAGGGATTTTGAAGAGTGTTGATGGGGGTTGGGCATAAGGCCCACTGCTTGTAATCCCAGTGGATGTCGATGGTTGGTCTGGATCTGTGAGGAGTGGCTCGTTGCTGCATTGGCTAAATGATCCCCGTCGGCTTGGCTCTGTGGGTGGGAATATAATTAATACGAATATTCGTGGCAGGGATAATATACAATTAAATTTAATTTATTTTTGTAACTGGTGCGGAGGTCGCGTTGGGAAATGCTAAAATGCCGAGTTGTAAATAATTTTGATTACTAATGTTTTTGTGCACAACGGATGCAGTTGGTGGTAGAGTCGTAAAAATATTGGAAATTTATTTAAAATTCATATAAGATTTTATCCATCTCCTGAGTAACAAAATTTTCTATCTCTCTCTACCGGTTTTATCTTTTCTAATTCCCTCTCTTAATCCCTGTTTTCTCTCGCAATCAATCTCTCTCTCTCTCTCTCTTTATTTCCGCTATGTTCTTATTATTGTGTATTTGTGTTTATAACCGCAAAATATTCCTCTTTTTTTTCGGGGGATATTTGGAATATTGCCGAAGTGGCAGTCCTTGGTCGGATAAAAAGACCCGTCTGTCGCGGGAAGTATTGGTCTCTTACGACAGGCATGCCATCGTTCTATCCCTCTTTCTTCTGTCTTTCCCTTTTCCGCTCCATGTCCCTTTCCCACGTTATGGTCCTTTTTCCCTCTTTTCACTATCTTCTTAGTTTTACCCCCTCCTTATGACATTTCCTACTTTTTTTTCATAATTCTATCCACCTTTGGCACTAAGTAGCTTTAACACCATCCGGACTTTTCTTTTTATTTGCCTACTTTATTTTACCTTCATCAATTCATCTTTCACTCTGAGCCCTCACCACTCAACCCACTCAATGCATTGTGTTTTACTTAATTTAAGTTTTTAATTTTTTTAATTTCGAACACCAAAACAATGGGACATTTTGCTTCCAGCCTCACTGCACTAGCCCAAAAGCTCACCTGTTTGCTATCACCTCTGAAATGCCATTTACGATGCACTTTAAGTGCAGTCATTTGCGTAAACGTTTTATTACACAAATCGCAGGCGTATTCGCCATTATCATTCACCCGATCCAAATAGAATTGATTCGGATCCGCTGGACCAGTATCAAACATGGCCGCCAACGGATTATCCGTATACAATTCCATTTCATGCATTTGTATATGTTTGGAGAATAACTCTTGATCAGTGAAACGTTGCCCACATATTGTACACGATACTTCGGGTAACTTAATCTTCAGACCGCCGCTAGCCGGTATGGGTGTTATCTCCAGTTCCCCACCACCCAATGCGCTTGTCGTTATTACACCACTGGCATCGTGTGACGCGTCGTCATCATCATCGCCCGTCTTATGCTTGTAAACGGGTGGTGGTCCAGCGTTTTCGGCCATAGCACCAGTGGCTGTAATGGGTTTACGATTGCATGTCGGTATATGATTCTCTAACATCTGGTTGTCGAAGAAGACCTTCTTGCAAAGTACACACTCGGAAGGTTCGGGATATTGTGGATGCTTTTTGTAACGGTGCACCTGCAAGGGGACAAGTAAAAATGTAAGTAATTAACGAATGACATTTGATTTTAGTTGCGTAGTTTTTGCCTGTTGTTCTGCTTACCCATAAACTCTTGCGTCCACTATACACATTGCCGCAATCCTTGCACGAATAATCATTTGAATCGAATTCGTCATGTGAATTTATATGTATAGCTAACTTTTTATTTGTATTAAAGTTCGATGGACAATATTTACATTGATACCAATACAACGGACCACTCGTAGACGTATCCAACGTACTGCGCTCAGCGCCCACACCACTCACCGGCGTCGATATGCTCGAACGATCGGCTGGATTTGCAGTTGAACTTGTATCAGCACCACCAGCGGCACCGAAAGTATCATCACCAAAGGTCTCATCAGCCTGTGCAGCATTTGCTGTTGCGCTACCATGTACACTCTTTTTATGCTGCAACAACTGTTCCTCACTGCGATACACAATCGAACAAATATCACATTCAAATTGCTTAACGATCATCTCATCCTTCAACAGCGTATTGTGTATTTTAAACATATGCACCTTCAGTCCCTTCTCATAGGCGAATTCGGCATCACATAGCTTACACTTAATAAACTGTACATTGCGTATTTGATGATCGTTAAGCATATGGAAACGATAGGATTTCTTCGAAGAAAAGCGACGTTGACAGAGCCGACAACGCATGCGTCGGAAACGACGATCGGCTGCTTGTTCTAGGCTACGCTTAAATATCGCCTTTTGTACGGCTGTCTGATGTTGCATAGCTGGTGGCGTGGAGGATTTTGTAGGTGGTGTTGGTGTTATAGTGAGGCCGCTGGGCGTAGATTTGCTAGTATTCAAGCCACCTGACGACAATATGCTATTTTGTGCAGCGGCGCTGTGCGAGCGCATATGATTGGACAAACCGATGTTATTGCTAAAGACCGCATTGCAAATGGGACATTCCTTCAGGCTGCTATACATGTTGCCACTGCCGCCCGCAGAGCCTGTACTGGTTGTCACTGCCGCGCCATTGTCCGTGCGCATTTTTTTCGCTACATTTTCACTGGAGTTCTCATCGTCGTCGGCTGAATTGGTGTGAGTGATAGGAGAGTTATAAGTAAAATTGAAAAATGTAGCTCGAGTACAGATGTAAAGCGTATGTATGTTAGTAAAAACAAACAACATATTCAATACTTAAAATAAAAGATTATTTAAACATAAATTTTTTCCTGCCGGAAGGAAAAGAATATTTTAAAATAAACTATGATAACATAAATAGTAAAATCTCGGTAAAGCCATATTAAGAATAAATGAATTAAAAAAAAATAAAAATAAAAAAAATAAAAAAAAATAAAAAAAAAAATAAAAAATACTAAAAAAAAAAATAAAAAAAGTAATTAAAAAAATAATAATTAAAAAAATAATAATGAAAAAAATTATAATTAAAAATAATAATCAAAAAATAATAAATACAAAGAATAATTAAAAATAATTATTAAAAATAATAATTAAAAATACTAATTAAAAAATAATAATTAAAAATAAGTTCAAAATTAAATTAAAAAAAAAAAAAATAAAATAAAACAAATAAGAAATTTAAAAAAAAATTAAAAAAAATTAAAAAATTAAAAATAAAAATAAAAAATGCAGCTTAAACAAAAAAAATTTAAATATATGCAAAAAATTAAATTAAATTTAAAATAAAAAAAAATAAAAATAAAAATAAAAAAAAAAAAAAAAAATAAATAAAAAAATAAATATAAAAATTTTAAAATATTTATTTAAAACATAAAAAGATTAAGATCAAAAATTAAAAAAATTAATAAAAAATTAAAAAACAAAATTTAATAAAAAAAATTGAAAAATAATTTAAATATTTTATAAAATGAAATTTCAAAAAAGTTTATGAAATAAAATCAAATTAAGAAAATATATATAAAATTAAAAAATTAAAACATATTAAATATAAAATATATAAAAATACAAAATGTAAAATTAAAATACTAAAAGAAAAAAATAAAACCTAATAGGAGTAAATATAAATTAAAAACTTTCAATAAAAAAAAATTCAATTGAAATTTAATTAAGAAACTAAAATTGAAACAATTAAAAGAAAAAAATATTTAAGAGACTTGATAAAAATAATAAAATATGCTTTGATTTTTTTATTTAAAAAAGTTGGGGTTACCAACAGAAATTAAGTTAAATTTAATTATGTTAGCGCTGGGCAAAAAAATTGACTTTTAATACAATATGTATTATAAAATAAAAGAGCATTTGAAAAAAAATTATGTATATATGTGCTTGAAATACTAAAAACTAGATAGAGCTAAAATAAAAAAAGTATTAAAAAATTAAATAAATATTAATTTTTGATATAAGTAGTAAGTAAATTAAAGGCATGGTTTGTTTGTTAAAAAAAGAAATTTAAATGTTTAATAAAAAAAATTTAGTAAAAGAAATTAATAAAAAAAAAATTAAGAAAAAATAATTATAATATCAAAAACAATATCTTGCATTATTAAGTAAAAACGAGGTATATAAGGCTTCCAAAAATTCTTCCAATAATACAAAATAAAAATTTGTTTTCAAAGTTTAATTTAGTTAAAATTTGCCTTAAAACTTTGTTGCAATTTCTGTTTATCAGTAAGCACTTTAAACTTTGCCAACATTTGGAAAGCATTATAAATCAAATCCCATCCATATTTACCTACAATCATGTTTAGATTAGACGAAAAACACTATCTATAACTTAAATTTTACATTACGTTCTCTACGTAAGACCTACCAATTGAACCGCCATTGGTTATCGACATTAAATCCTTCATCACATAATCATAACGACCCGTGTAGACATTCTGCTGTGGTCCATAGGCAATTTTCACCGCATCCGCATTTACGATATACTCAAAACCAGTATGACGTGCTTTATCCGCAGAATGGGCGTTCACCATATGCTCACGCAAATTAGATAGCCGTGGATAGCCAATGCCACATTTTACACACTTATATGTTTGTGGCAATTGATCGGGATGTTTGGATTCCATGTGACGCAGCACATTATTGTAGTTATTGTACTGTTGATCACATATCGGACACGCTTGTGGCATACGTGAAAAATATGTTGACTTCGGTTGTGAGGATGTGAAACTAGCATGATGACTACTACGCGACTCATCGGTGGAGGCAGTATCTAGGAGTGTGCGCAAGCCTTTTGATATTTTACCCGGCGAATTGTCGGTATTAATGGTATATGTAGTTGTTGCCGGTTGCTCACCAAAGCCGGCCAAATGCTTTTCATACACATGATCGAGGAATTTCTGATGATTATCGAATTTGGCATCGCATGTAACACAACGCAACGAAACAATACAATCCATATTGTTGTAATGACGTTTACGTTCAGCTGGATCATCTAATTCCAGCCCACAATAGCAGCATTGTTTCTGCATTGTGTCCTTGCGTTGCATATCGGCATGCTCATCGTAGACATGCGAGCGAAACTCCAACTTGAGACGGTATTTCTTCGGACACAATTTGCATTCGTACATTTTATTCACGAGCAATTCTTTGGCGCGCAACTTATCAGGCACCGCAGCTGTCGTGGCTGTCACTGCAGCGGCGAAATTCTGATCCTTCGCCATTAACGCATGCAATACTTTGTAGAGATTTATACAATTGCGTCGTTTCAAATGCGATATGAACAATGCTTTCGAGTCGTTCAATTTCAGGCAGTTAAAGCAAAGATTACGCGGCAATGTTAGATATTTTTTACGCATATGTGCCATGAAATTCTTGTAAGTCGAATAGGTTTTATTGCAGCAGCGACAGGTCATACTTTGATATTGACGCAGGAACTCATCGTTCTGTTGTAGGAAAACGATTTTCTCATCTGTCAAATGATGCTGATACTTCTCGGGATGCTCATAATCGAAACCGCCGATTTCACATTTGTTGAAGGCATTCACCACCTCCTGGCGGTACTTGAGCGGCGTTATCAAACCCGAAGCGGCTTTCTTCGCCTCCGCAGCGGCAACTGCAGCAGCTGAGGCACGTTGTAGTTCCAAAGCGGCAGCTAGCGCAGGTGTAGGTTTTGTTACAGGCATATTATTTGTTGTTGATGTTGACAGTTCAAAGAGATTGGGATGTAAATTCCGCTCGTGTCGGCGTGCATTGGCGCGTGTAGAGAACTTCAAATTGCAAGCACGACAGGCGGCTTCCTTAGTGTCGACGAGTGCGGCAAGTTCGATAGGTGGACGTGGCGGTGGCGGTGGTGACGGTTCATATGGGTACGCCATGTGCTCCTGTGTAGAGAGTTATGCAATTTATTATCAATATGAGCACTTAAAATTGATTATAGAAAAGCAAAACATACCATAAGTGCCTCATCGCCCTCCTCTTCGGTGCGCTCTAAGAAAAGTGTGGGATCAACCATATCATCGGACTCATCATGCTGTTTATTATTGTAATCATCATCGGGATCTATTGGTTCGTCCTTAATGTCGACTGCTGGTAGAGGCTGTGGGTGATAGAGGAAAAGGGTTTCATTTTTTAATAGTGAAACAAGAATTTTTAGGTAAAAGGTTTCATTTTATAAGCAAAAAATTTCAAAAAAAAAAACTTGTTATAAAGTGATTTAACGAATTTGCTGAAAAAATGTTAAATAATTTATATCCAAACTGTGTGTTAGTAGGTTGTTAATTTGTCTGTACAAAAATAATAGATTTCTGGATTTTCCAAAAATGTTGTACAAATTTTGCTTTGCCAATCGGTTCCAAACGCTCTGATGTGATTACATAATAACAAAAAACGCAAAGGCAACATTATAAAAATATTTCTGAGTATATAGATGTATGTATATATGTATATGCAAACACGTTGTTCCCGATACGTTTACGTTGTTGTACGTGTAACGTCTAAATAAACGCAATTGCTGTGCGGCACTTTGAAATGCTGCGACGTTGGTGGACGACGACGACGCCGAAACTGTGGCTGCGACGGCGCCGGCAGCAGTGACAACAGCAAGTGGCTGTAATTGTATTGGCTGTTGCTGCAGGGATTGTTGCAATTGTTGTTGCTGTTGTTGTTGTTGTTGCAACAATTGCTGTTGTTCCAACAACTTTTGCTGCTCGAACAGCAACTGTTGCTGCTGCCTTTGATACTTTTCCACTTCAGCTTGCACATGTTGCTGCAATTCTTTTTGCTGTTGCTGCTGATGATGGTGCTGCTGCTGCTGCTGCTGCTGTTGCTGCTGCTGACTACGATACTGATAATGCCTTGCGCGTCGCGGTGCTGCCTGTGGCAATGTTGCCACCGTTGATGGCAACCGAACGACACCAGCAGCGCCAGCAACGGCAACACCACTTAGACTAGGCGTCGTATATTGCCTACTATACTTCCTATATGGTATTGGTTGATCCAGCGACACTGGTTGTGCAGTATGCTGTGGCTGTGCCTTTTTCGCATGGTACGTTGTTGCTGTTGCTGTTGCTGCTGTTGCAGTTGATAATAATAGCTGACGACTACTTGACGTGGGAGTAGCAGCTGTGGAAATACTGTTAGTACTAGCAGCCGTAGTAGTAGTATTAGTAGTATTAATGCTACAAATAGTAGCAACAGTAGTAACTGCAGTACTAGTAGTAGTAGCAGTAGTAGTACTAGTTGTTGTAGTAGTAGTAGTAGGAGTAATAGTAGCAGTAGTAGTGGTAGTACTAGTTGTACAAGCTGTGGGGTTTTCTTTAGGACTCACATAAACAGTTAAAGATTTTCGTTTCTTCAACGATGAAATTCCATCCAAAATCGACGATGCCAAACTTGTCGCTGCTTCATTCTCTTCGGTGTGTTGTTGATGTTGTGTGGTGCCATCTGCACCAATCGTTGATATGCTCACATTGTTATCGAGCAATTGCTGCCGCTTATTTGTATCCAACCAATTGCGTTGTTTATTCTGTGAGCCGATGCAACGGTTTTTGAAGCTCTGCCAGGAATTCAGGTAACTGATACACGCATGACATATGCGTAGGGATAATTGATCATCGGGATTTATCTGAAAGTAGTAATTGAAGAAGAAAAATATCTTATAAGCAGATGTTGAGTATATAAAAGTATGAATGTACAATTTTTTTCTTTTCAGAGTTCGAAGGAACGGTAATTACAAAGAAATAAAAAATAAAAATATATAACGGTATATTTTTTCATCTCTACATTTGAACACATTTTTTATGCGAAGAGGAGTAAAAAGTTGGGACATCTTTAATTATATTTTCCAAGATTTGTTACATACTTTTACGCGTGGTAATAAAAAAAAAACAAATACAATCAGAAGAGAAAAACAGCTCAGCTCACGGATTCGAATTTCTGATAATCACAAATGTTATTTATGTAAAAAGATTTTGCAAAAATAAAGGACATTGTCTTAGTGTATTTCTTAATTTCCAATAAAGTTGTTTCGAAAAATCGTTGCATATTTATGGGCTCGAAATAGTTTTTTTTCTTCTTAAAAATATGACAAAACAGCGGATTTTCAGGTAAAAAAAAAAATTATTAGAAATTCTGTCTCGCGTTAAAGAGAGGTGCTTTAACAGTATTTTGCCAAATAATACGGACCAAAACTTTCTTGAAGAGCTTAGGTGTTAGCGCTCGCAGAGAGGAATTTGTGTACAGTCCTTCCTATGTGCAAAACTGAAATCTCTGAGAATCGACAGCCATGCTCTGAGTAATATTTAGGTTTAGTAAAGCAAAACGCTTCGTTTGATAGCAAAATGGCCAAATAACTGTAGCATTATCTTTTATCAATGACCGCTCTAAGCTGGAGCAATCCTATAAACAATATTTTATTTTATTTTTCAAGTTATATTTTTCTTGAATGGATTTTTATTAATACTCACGACATTTTTATTGCTTTAAGCAACTAAATTGTTTCAAATTAGCTTCAAAATCCTTTTTTTAAGAACCGTTGCATACTTTTAGGCATCCCATAATGTGAAAAGATTTTAAAATTTTGCTTACCATCAATTGACAAAAATTTAAATAATTTATTATTGCTAGGTAATAAAATGAAAAAAAACTACTCATAAAAATTCAGCCATTCCCTCCATTTGTTGGAAAAAACGTCAAAACGTAAAAGCACAGATTCCAATTTTTAATGAATTCAATTAAATAAAAGTAGCAGCATACTTTTTGGCAGATGTCTTTTCTGCTTTGTTTTAATTTCTTATTCAAAAGTTAATATAAATATATATATACATACACCTATACATATGTATGAATGTATGTATATGCAATTTCCATAATTAATTATTAATTTCTTGTAGCCAAACGACTTTTTAATTTTTTATAACCATAAAAGGTGCAAATTAAATTTAGAAAATTCATATATGTAGTTTTATTTCAGGAAATTGATTTTAAATTGACGCCGCAAATTACGCCTACCACCGGCAAGACGACGAGCCGGCCGGCAGCAGTAGCAGCAACTAAATCAAACAAAAACAACAAGTAGAAGCGAAACAGGAGCGGTAGCATACATAACAGTAGTTATAATGAGAGTTAAGCAGGCAACAGGAAAGGACGACAACAACAACATCAGCAGCAGCAGCAGCAATGTCAATGACCTTTTTCCTTGCACAAAACAGTATGCCAAGTAGACGACGGACACATCTTGGCTATACCAACAAACTACTAGCTGTGTGGCGTGTGTGTGAAAATGCATGTGTTGGTGGCTACATTTATATATACTAATAAGCCAAACACCAACCGTCTCTGCCCGCACTAATGGAGACTCATACTCCACACGCTGCATTACAACTACAATATGAACCCCTTTATATATATATATATATATATATATATATATATATATATATATATGTATATATATATATATATATATATATATATATATCCGTCTTTGGTTTACGTGTACGCGACTGTGTATTTGTATGCACACGTATCCACACATATATACTCATATACATGCATGTGTACATCAACAAAGTGACATTATGCATATCGCCAAGCCGCAAAGACAAGAGGTCAAGATAAACAGGCAAACAGTCATCATATATGTATGTATGTATATGCATAGCTATTCCTAACACTGATAACACCTAGCCAAAAAGGATAATCAGCAGCAGAATCTGAACATTTTTGTTTGACGACATTGGCATTTAATTGAAATTTTTAATTTCATATTTAAATTAATTTTCTTTATACATACATAGATATACGCAAATATGTATGTGTGGAAATGTGTATGTATGAGTATATGTATGTGTTTTTGATTTGTTTTGCATTGCCCGTAATAGCACTCAAGCCGATTAAACACAAACCCTTTGTCATTTGGCAAGGATAATGATTAAAGACAAACACAACACACACACACATCCATACATAATTATCTTTGAAATTGCTTACATATACAATTCCGGTGATGTGTTTAGTATACACCAATATGTAACTAAATCGAATAAGTGCGTCGAAATGCATTAGAAATAATTATAAACTAATGAGTACATAGGGAATATTATACATATATGTACATACATTTGAACATATCGAATATGTACAAACTTAAGTGCCCATTTACAGTTGCAAACAGATTTATATGCACTCGTATGTACAGTCAAACATACTTTCATATATGTATGTGCGTCCAAGCATGCAACTGCCTAAAAGCGTAAGGATAAACGGATATACAATTGTGTAGTAAATAATTGTATTGAGGGCAAGAAAGTTGTAAATAAAATTATTAAAAAAAAAAAGCAGAATTGTTATTATTCAATAAAAAAAACGAATAAAAAAGAAATAATTAAAACGAATTTATAAAACAAAATTATAAACAATGCGAAATGAGAAATATAAAACAGAAAATAAAGTAAAACAAAATACAATAATTAAAAATAATAATTATTATTTAAACAAATAAGATATAATTAAATTAAAAAAAATTAAATTTGAATTTGTAAAATACAATAAACAAAATAAAAATTCAGTTAAATAAATGAATTGAAATTAAATCGAATTGAATTGAAAAAATAATCATTCAGATTAAAATGAAATCAAAAAATATGATAAAACAAAATAAGGTAAAACAAGATAAAAATATAAAACAAAATGATAAATAAATAATAAAATACAATAAACAATAAACAATAAATAATAAATAATAAGTAATAAAATATAAAAATAATATATTAAGAATTATAATTGGAAATTTATAATTATAAAAACGAAATAAGGCAAGATAAAAATAAAATAAAAAAAAGCAAAATAAAATAAAATTAAGCAAAATAATGTAAACATAGCGAACAAGATAGAATAAAATCAATTAAAACGGAACATAAATAATAAAATTATAAAGTAATATACACAATTAATATAAAAAATAAACAAAAAAAGTAAAACGAAAAATAGAATAAAATATATAATTAAACAAATTAAATTAAAAAATGTTAAATAAAATATACAAAATTATATTCAGTTAAATTAAACTCAATTGAATTGAGAAAAATATTTGGAAATAAATAAAAATAATAATAAAAGAAATTAAAATATAATTTAACAATTTAAAAAAAATATAAAAAAAAACAAATTAAAAAAAATATGAAAGAATAAAAAAATAAAAAAAAATAAAAAATAAAAATTATAAAAAATATAAAAATTTGGAAAAATATAAAAAATAAAAAAAAAATTAAAAAAAAATAAAAAAAATTCAAAAAATTAAAAAAAAATTCAAAATTAAAAAAAAAAAATGAAAAATTAAAAACAAAAAATAATGAATATATAAAAATATAAATCACATTTAATAAAATAAAAAGTAAAATAAATAAAATATTAAAAAATAAAAAATTAGATAAATAAAATATTAAAAAATAAAAAATAAAATAAATAAAATATTAAAAAACAAAAAATAAAATAAATAAAATATTAAAAAATAAAAAATTAAAAAAAAATAAAAAAAAAAATAAATAAAATTAAAAAAAAAATAAAATAAAACAAAATAAAGTAAACCTAGTAAAATTAAACATGTTTAATAAAAATAATATATAAAATCAAAATAAAATAACATAAAAAAACACTTGTAAAAATAATTCAGATAAATAAAAATTGGTGCAAATTAGAAGTTGTGGTAATCTCCCAATAAGTTGGTTGGATATTAAGCGGTTAAATTTCAGCTTGTACTATGTATGATTAGTTAACTTATGATAATATGAACATAGCTGTATATATGTACTTCCAACTCAAATCAGATATCCTTGTAATTGTATTTGTATATGCACATAGATATGTATATATGCTTACTAAAATACATACTTAGATATCACATTTTAAACGGCACATATATACATATATATATATATATATAAATATGTATAGATATATACATAACTTAGCGTTGGAGTTGAAATACAAAGCCACAAAGATCAACTAATTGCATACGCAAAACATGTTTCGATGCATAAACATTAGTATATATATACAAATTTAGATACATATGTATATGTACATATATATGTATGTTTGTATATGCTAATGCGTATGCATATAGAGCAATTATATACATACAACCAAAATTTATCTACAGATAATTATTTATTAACAAAATTATTATGTGCAGTTATATACAAATATATGTACGTATGTATGTAGATTTGTGCGAGAAATCTGGACATACTTAAGAATTTTGCACATATCTTCGCAGCACCTAACATGCATACATATACATACATATGCTGTTTAAGCTGCTATTATTCCGGCAAAAGGACATACACATGTAGATACGTATACATATGTAAATCAAAGAATAAAATAATATCGAATTACAATAAAGAAAATTACCCATGCTGAAACAAATACATACATATGTATATTTATGTATACTCGTACTATAAGCATTCATTATAAGACATACATATTTGCATATATGTACATATTATATACATGCATACTTATTTAGAAATGCATTTGCATAAATATAATTGCATATGTGTGAATATGAACATGTGTATATACAAACATTAATTATATGTAGGTATGTACATTCATACATACATATGTGTATAATGCATTTTATTTATGACTCCTTATTTCCTTAATTATGCAGGTAAGAGAAACCTGCAAACCATTCAACAATTTCAGTTAGTGGCAAATATGTAATAGAAAGCTAAAGGATGTGTATATATGAGAATGTATATATGATTGCATGCCATAACATAGCTTTGGGGTGTAATAATAGTAATCATTTCATTCGATTCGACTGGGCGGTGGTCCATTTGATGTTCATTCACCTCGCTCACACCACATTACATTTCTTTGAATTGTCCTGCACCACACAGTCACTCATTCCAATACGATTATCGTATACATAATGTGCTACATAACAAAAAGCTTCTGTCTTTTTGTGCCTGCTATAAACTCTAACTTTAACAATAAACAATAACTTTAATTATACAAATAATTTTTTAAATTATCTTAAGAATATTATTGTTAGAAACTGCAATTCAAATTAAAAGGAAAATGCTCAACATTAACTCATTTAAAGTAATTGAAGCAGAGCTCTTAGGAAATTTTGACGATAGAAATTTATTTTCAATTTTGTATGTTCTTATGAAAAAAAACCTTGGCATCATTCTTGCATCAAATTCTTAGTCTTAATTAGAACTGGAATGCAATCTAAGGCACTTCCTTCGAGATTCTCAAAGAGTTTTCCGTTTTATAATAAAATCTGAAAGCACAAGTAACTTATATCAGAAAATGTGAATAAATTTTGTATTTTGGCATAACTTACCTGCCCTTAAGACTGTAAATATGCACTTCCAAGCATTCTCGACAGCAACGACTAGACTTGAGACTTTATTTCATTGAATTGGTGAATTCAGAGAAGTTTAAAAGACTACTTGACTTATACTGTAGTATACAAACAAACATACAAATTTATATTCAGACACGTAAACATAAAGGTTTGACAACATAGAAATATGTTCAAGCCTTTCCATTGCGGAAACATGTGAAACCCTAAAACCACGTGAACAAAATTCTCTGACTGCCTTTAAAAGACAACTGAAAATCCAATACGGTTTCAAGTAGACGTACACTTGTAAACGCATAGTATCTATATACAATACAGAGATAAAAAAATACCAAATAGCTTTTCTGTGATGACTACGTCACTGCTGGTTACGGAGAGGGTTAGTTAGTCAACGTATACACACGCTGACGTGGTATCCGTCGCTCCAGATTGTCAATAGCATTTTGACAATAGTAAAGCAAAAAGTGATCGGAAAGCAGCTAGCAGAAGAAACGGTGAGTCTACATACATGCGTACATCTGTTATCTGGAATATAAAATTCACAATGCCTCATTTCTTCAAATAATTTTAGCAATTCTTAAAGCTTAATAAGATATTCTGAGTAGTGCCACCATTTCAGATTAACACATGGAGTAGCAAGTGAAACTCCGCGTCCAAATGCATGTACTTATATATGGCGAATACAAGAATTTATAGTATGGCTTGAAGAAAACGCGTTAGCGAGCTGGGATAGCATTGTGCTCTATATATATTTCCCTACATGTGTTTATACACCTACAAATATGTATAATTAACAACAGAGCACATGGAGCAAAGGTGACGACATGTAGCAGTCTGATGAGCATTTTAAAGAAACCATGATATGAAAGAAAAAAGTAGCGTACAGATGGCGTTGAGCGTTCCCTAGTTCTGCTCTTATGTTTTTTTTTTTTATGCGCATATATTCGATAATCCTTTACTGGATAATTAACAATTACTAATACATATTTATATTATTACTTTTTATACAAATATTTACTTTCTTCAATACCTTTTAACGTTCACAATTATTAACCTTTGCGCCGTTGAAATGTAGAGATTTAAAATGGAAGCAGTGATGCCAATGTCTGAATATAATTCATTTGCACCGAAAAAACGCTGCATAAAATTTAAACAATTAGTTCTCCACTTTGTAGCCATTGTGAACATAACCTTAAAAACTATTCATCAAACAGCAATTATGAGCTCGACTGCATCACGCAATGGAAATCGTAGCAGCTGCTGGCAGCTGCTCAAACACGTTATGCAATTCTCAAAGTGAAACAGTTTGGTTACTCCAAATGCTGTGCCGAACGAAGCGCTCTTGCTGGCAATACATACTACCCCACAATTCATATATAACATGGCAAAGATACACGAGCAACTGCGATCAAAACGCTGCCTACACTCTTAAGTACATACATACGTACAAAACACTGAAATTACCTACTCCGTTTATCAACATTAATTCATGTGGAAAGCGTACCAGCAGTAGTGTACCAGTGAGCCAATCATTGTCATACGTCAAACTCCATTTTTGGAAGCGGACGCAGATGATGAGCGAATCGATATACAACGACGACAACGATAACGGCTACGGAACGAACAATACAAAGTAACGAAAACGAAGCCACCGCGTTTTCCAGGTACTCGTCAATACATCATGGGCACCGCCAATTCCAAACACAATACAGCACCGCACCACCATTGAGGGAAATAACAACGATGTACTCCATCCATCGCATTACTACCACCGCATAATGCGCTTCGAGACGCAGGCCAGAAAGAGACAGCGTGGTAATAGACAATGCAGTAACCAGACATCCAGCAAACGTTTGACTGCTGCCTATCAATACATTGTAGTGTTCCAGCTAAATAACGCATGATGCCTTGATTACGGTTTAGCCATGTTCCTCGAACGGAATTTTCGATGTATGAATTTTATTTTTCTTCTTTTAAATGAATTCAAAATATTAAGATATATCCTTTTGCTCTAAATTAATTTAACAAATCTTTAACGTAAATATTGTTTCTCCAGCAGCAAATAAATTTTAAAAGGAATTGCATAGTTTTCGTGTTTGCTTTGCACTGTATTCGTAATTGTTGATTTTGCTTTGACCTTCTTCTTTAGCGCTGCTGTGAGCTCATACACATTTATCAAAATGCAGTTGGTTTACCGGCTTTGTTGTTGTTATGGTTTTTATAGAAAATAACGCAGGTCTAATTTCATCGTACGTGTTTTCCTACTTCAGAAAATGTTTTTCCCAATAAAAAAAAAAATATTTTGAAAATAAGCTTCCAACACTTCTTACCATTTATCTATTTTGGATCAACCAAAATTATTTGAGGAACTAAGCACAATTAAAAGAAAAAATTCATAAGAAGGAACATGAGTACAAAGCAAGTCATTCAGCTGCTGCAGCTGTTCATCCAACTGGCTGTGAAAATGGTGGACAAGCTTTATTCTTTCGAGTAAATAGCAACGGCAGCAGGCAACGAGTCAGCCGACGAACATGTCAGGGCGATGATATTTCTGACGACTGCCTCGACATAAGCAGCACTCGTTGTAGCTACAGCTGCGGTTGTAGCTGCTGGCCGACTACACCACGTACGAACATCCACACACAGTGAACCACTATTTAGCCACTCAACCACTCAGCTATACAATCAGCAACTGCCAACTAAGTCACCAACCAAGAGAATTTGTGAGTCAACGCGAATGCGATAACGATGTTAGCGCTGTGAATCCGCATCCGAAATGGAATCGATTCCATACAACGCCACAACAGTAAAAATACGCCACACATTATATGCCAGCAGAGTCATGTCACAATCGAGGAGGCGCTGAGCGGCAGCGGAAGAGAGCGCGCGCACACACAACGGGCCAGACGGCACCATCATTGATTGCTTGCTCAGATTGCACAGAGCTCACGGGCTGGCAACGCCACACTAGCAACTAACCAACAAACGACATTAACCAATATGGTGACTTGGCAATTCCGCATGGCAAGGCATGGCGTGGTGTGGCGTGGCGTAGCACGACATGTGGGAGCACGGACGAAAAACTTGCACAATCAATCGCAACCATTGACGTTGGCTAACAACACTCCTAACCTCAATATAGTTCTTTTTGAAGTAAATTTAATGTAATTTCGGTAATTTTTTTTTTCTTTTTAATTTTGATAGATCATCTAAAAATGTATGGACATGAATAGCAAAACATACACGTACATAACCATGCTGTTTTGTACCTTCCATGTGAGAAGATCAAAGATTTGATCATTATAAAGGCTTTTTCCATTGTACATAATACACACGAATGCATATGTGTTTGTCCTCATATAGTATGTACTCACCTTGATGCTGACGCAGTTCTGTATCTTAGTAGCCAACGGTTCCTTGTCCGCCGCATAGCTGTTTAATATGGATATACATTCACTGCCCGGTGCCAAGCAGAGGCGACAGCAATTTTGTCGCGCACGCACTGGGCTACCTTCCGACATTTTGTAACGACGACTCCGTCAGACCAGACGCCACTCTTCCCTCCCAGAAATTTCACACTGAAGCGTAACTCTACTGCTCAGCAGATAACTCTCTATATGTATGTAGAGCAGCAATAGTGTGAGTTTTAATTGATTTGGAATTTGCTTTTCTGTTATAGCCAGTGAGAAGTACACTTTCGATTTAAATTTTTTTTACGTTTTTTTTTTCTTTCTGCACTTATTTTCACTTTTAACAAATGGTCTTTTTATTTTATAATTATTTGCCAGTTCTCTTCTCACCCGACTTCTTTGTTTTTATCTTATCTTTGCGGACTACATCGAATTTATTAGCGATCTATACTCGATGGGATTTTCTGCGAAACTGAAAATGAAGTTGGTTCATTTTTCTTCTTTGCCGGGAATTTTCGTTCAAGGAGAAGAAGAATAACGAATACAAAGAGGAATGGAAGAGAGCTTACCACGCGCAGTCTAGCGTTTAAAATCGAAATGCTTTGGGCGCACTCTAGTGTGTAACAAAACAAGAGTGTCAGCAAACGCAACTCTGTGAATGAGAAATCAGCTGTTCTACGCATTTCAGGCGCCGCAGAATGAAATATAAAGGCGTTTGATTTGGTTAAGAACTCATTCACAATAGCTATTGCTGTTTTTAATGTTTTTAATATTTAATTTTAATTGAATATTGAATTATTGGAAAATTTTAGCATTTTCCATGTACAGTTTTCCGTTTACTTTTGAAGAGCCTTTTGTTTTTGCCTTAGTTATTGTCATATAATTATTAAGATGTTTGATTCGTATTCATTGCGAAAACATTATCAAAGAACGTTAATACATGTACATATGTACATATGTAAATATGTTCTTTGGTAGGAGTTTATCCTGAAAATATGAAAATTTTTTATTAAAACTATATAATAACTACAAATACGTTTGTATATAGACTTCCTATAAATATGTATACATGTATACATATAAATATATATGTATGTGCATGCATTCGAACTTCATAGTTCGTTAGAAATTTGAAAAATAATATTATTATATTTATATAAGCTAGCAAAAAAAAATTGTTATGTTACAAAAGAAGAATTTTTATCGCAAACAGCGGATATTAAAAGAAAACAATTGAGAAAAAAATGTTTATGCATTATTATTTTTTGCAAATCACAAATGCAAATGTCAACGGTTTGAGCAAACCTTTATCAGGACTATTTTTGCTTTTATAAAAAATTCATATAAATAGCATTGCATTGCGAGCAAAAGTTTAATATATATAAGACCAGATAAGCAATGCATAAAATACTTTTGTATGTGTTTATGTATGTATGTGTGTACAGATATTTATCAATAGCCAAATGTGTGAGCTTAGCTTCAGATTCATTAATACTTTCTAAATAATAAAAGCGAAATAATAAAACATTTTCTTTCGAAGCATTTATGTACGTATGTAAATACATATACATATATCATTTTGTTTCTTAGAGATTCATACATATAAGTACATGCAAAAATTCAGGCGATTTACGAATTAAATTTAACCTTTGTTTAGGAAATAGTCATAAATTTGGGTAATTAATTAAAATGTCATAAAAAACAATTAATAATAACAAACGTACAAGCATGATAAGCTTATTACTTTTATACGTATTGTACATATTTTTGGTTTCTAGTTTTGAAAACTGCAAAAAATAGATAGGTCTAAGTTTGTCCATAAGCGACTATTTATTGTTTTTTTTTTTTACACCCAACGCACATTTCAGAAACCTTTTTTCGTGCAACTTTATTTTTCATTAATTTCAAGGCATTATTTTTTCCGATAGTTCTTCAACAGAGAATACGCAAAATTCCTCAATATACATCAGCTTGCTGCTCCTAAGCGTTGGAAAGTTTTTATCATAAATTCTTTTTTAAAAGAGTATATTTGCACTCAGAAAAAAGGAAAAAAAAAGATAATACAATTTTTCCTATAGACAAGTGTCTGAAAGTACATTTATGTACGTGTATATATAAGTACATATTTATTTTGTAATAAATAAATTAATTGTTAATCATTTTAATATATATTTTTTAATCAAAACCATAGCCAAAGGTCAAATCTGCGACGCTGCACGCAAACAATAAATCGAAGATACTCGTATCTTTAAGAAAGAAGAAAACATCTAGGAGCTCTTGATTTGTGTTTATTAATTTTTTTTTCATCGAAGGTTATGAATAGAGTTGCCAATATTGTCTTTTTTCAAGATTACAAACTTCAAGGTAATGGAGTTGTTGTACAAAAAAAAAAGTTATTAAAAATTAAATTAATCCTTTTTAATATTTCCCGGAAAATCCTTCATTTATTGAAAGAGGACATGCAATACACATTAATGATTGTCCCATTGTGGAGAAAAGCCAAATAATTGGTAAATCATAGCAAACTTTTGGGCTCATTTTAGAATATTTAATATAATTTTGTGTGAACCTATACGTAGTGGAAATAGTAGAATGCTCTGATAACCGTTACGTCTATAAATTCTACAAACCAGAAAGTTGAACCAGCACAGACCTCACGCATAAGGGAAACTTCTTGTTTTCAAAGCTCTACAGAAATTGCACCACTTGAGATTTATCTCAACCACACTCAAACCATCTTCGATCCGAGCAGTCGAAGTATTTTCATATTACTCGCCGTTCTCTTTAAACACCGAGTAAACCTTGGTGTAGAAACACAGAAACTTCCAACCACCCACGCATAATTTCAGTGCTCTTGGCATCCCTATAAAACCCTACACATTTGTTGTATTTGTTCATAAAAAAGACTCTTTGCTTTATCATTGATAACCGGCAAGCGAGCATACACGTTTGTATTGGAAGCAATCATCTTTATATATATATATTGATGTATATTAAAATACTTGTGTACATATGTATGTGACTAAATATATCTACAGAAGTCAAAAACATATGTCCGCTAAATTTCCTTCATTTATAGCGCAAGAATACACACACGAATCCATGTATTTCTACAATAGCTGTTGTATGCTTATCACAAGAAAGCTACTTGTGAAAGTAATCTAAATGAACGGCCAAGGGGAAGTGTAGAAGGCGCTAAAAATGACTAAAAATGCCTATTAGCGGCGCTGCTGATATGCCAAAATTTCTGTTGTAATAAGAAACATAATAAAAATCTGTTATGAATTTTTTATTTTTATTTTAATAATTAATTAATTTTTATGCTCCAGAAAATCATATCATATGAAATTAACCAAATATTTAGAAATGTGCAATGTAAAAAAAAATATTTAAAAAGTTCTTTAATACCATAATTTGAAAAGTGGTTTCAAAAATTAAATTAAAAAACCTCTCGTTAATTACAACAGATGATGATAAATACAGGCAAAGAATAAAGTAAAATAAAATAATAATATACTTAAATAAAATAAATTTAATAGGAATTTACGAAAAATTTCTAACTAGTTTACTATTAAATTTATTTTATTTATATATAATTTTATTTAGTGTTATTTTTTTCCTTTCTTTGCCTTTATACTTTATTTATAACTCTATATATGTTTTAATTTTGTTTCTTTATTTTACATTTTTTCATTTAACTTTATTTTATTTTAACATATTTTTGTTTGTTTTAATTTTATAATTTGTTTTATTTTATTTTACTAAATTTTTTTCATTTTATTTTATGATAATTGATTTTGTTGTCTTTTACTCTCCTTAAATTTTTTATTTCATTTTATTTTAGATTACTCTTTTAATTTTTATATTACTTAAACATTTTCTTATTCTACTTTACACTAATTTAAGCTGTTTTTGTTTTTATTTAATTTCATTTTACGCAACTTTTATTTATTTTATTACAATTTATTTTGTTTTATTTAATATTTGTTTACTTTAAATTAAAGTTGGTTTAATTTAATTTTTCACTAAATATTTTATTTTATTTTAATTAAATTTATTTATTCTTAGGTATATTTTAATTTATATCATTGTTTTATTTTATTTAAATCTTTAATTACAGTTTTTAATTATATTTTATTTAGTTAAACTTGTTTTATTTAATTTAATTTTTTTTAATTTTCCACTAATAATTTTATTTTAATTTAATTTAACATATTTATTAGTTAGTTTATTTTAATTTATTTAATTTTTTTGTTATAGTTTTTAATTATATTTTATTTTATTTAAACTTGTTTTATTTAATTTAATTTTCTTTTATTTTGTTTAATTTTGTTTAACTTAATTTCTTTATTCAATTTTTTTTTTTTTGAATTAATTCAAGTTATTTTAATTTTCACTAATAATTTTATTTTATTTTAATTTAATAAATTTATTAGTTAGTTTATTTTAATTTATTTTTATTATAGTTTTTAGTTATATTTTACTTTACTTAACCTTGTTTTATTTAAATAAATTTAATTTAATTTTATTATGTTAAATTTTGTTTTACTTAATTTTTTTTATTCATTTTATAGAATTTAATTTATTGGTTTATTTATTTATTTTAGTTATTGTATTTTAATTTAATATATTTATTAGTTAGTTTATTTTAAGTTATATAATTTTTTGTATTTTTAGTCTTTAATTTTATATTATTTTACTTAACCTTGTTTTATTTAATTTAACTTAATTTTATTTTGTTAAATTTTTTAAACTTCACTTATTTATTGTATATATATTTTTTTTTCTTAATTTAATTAATTATAATTCAAGTTTATTTAATTTAATTGTTTGCAGCATTATTTTGTTTCATTTTAGTTTGATTTATTTTATTTTAGTTTGATTTATTTTATTTGGTTTGTTTTATTTAATTTTTTAATTTGCTTAATTAAGTTTTATTTTATTTTTTTGTATTTGATTTTACATTATTTAAGTTAATTGAATTAAATTAATTTCATCAAATTTTTTATATTTTTTCTATTTCAAAATATTTTATTTATAAATATATTATTTGAATATATTTTCCGGATGCCATTCATTGTTCCCACAAACCAACCATGGCGTCCACAATGTGTGTAGCGTATTAAGAATATTTTACCGGCAAATTGACTATAAAAAGATTTGCTCTGCTCATTGACATTCAGTCTTACCATTACTGTGTGTCTGATATTTTTCGCTGTTGTATCAAACTCTGCGAGTCTAAAGCAAATCCAATAAAAAAGGTATGAAACAGTGCAATTGGTTTTTTTTTATATATTATTTTACACAAAGTGTTTGCATTTTAACTAATTAAAATGTAAAAAATTTCTACCAAAATGAGTACAGAAAGTTAGTAATTTGTTAATTAACCTTTAATAATTTCTAATAAAATTTAATTATGGCAGATAAATTGTTTCATAAATCTCAAACGCTTCAAGTAGTAAAAGCTCTCTCTCTCTGGCTCTCTCTATTTTGCTCATTTTGTTTATTTGTTTCGCTCTAAGCCGGTCCCATGTTTGGCATAACAAAAGCATAATTTGTTGATCGTTCATATATATATATACATATATATATATATTTAACTTGCAATGCAATTTGTATTTTTTTTTAATTTATGTAAATACCGCAATTACTCTCTGCTTGTGCTCGCGTCAAATTATGCTTTTTTCTTCTACTGTGTGCAATGTATTGTATTTAAGCGATTTATTGCATTTAGCATTAAACAAGTAATTGGATGTTGCTATTTACACAAATGCAGCGTTTCCTAAATATTTCGCATAAAAAAATTAATGAAAGTATGTTCACATTAAACATTTTATTAAAAATATAAACAAAGAATTTTATCTATAAAAAATATTGTGAAAAATATTTTGAAGTAAATTAATTAAGCGAAAAGTGAAAAAAATTGAAGACCAAAAAATGCTGGTTCGCTTTAAATTCAGTGTTTCATGATGATTTTTAATCGAGTTTTTACAGTTAGCTAGAAAAGTAAATTCGATCCAAAATTATTTACGAAAATGTTTTTCTTAAAAAAAGTCAGTTAAATTTCATTATAGAAAATAATAAAGAAAATTTTGGGCATAAAACGATAATAACAGCAGAGCAGCAGTCCTCTAGGACTTGATGCAAGCGGCTCGTCCGACTGGTCTGCGTGAACTGTGGACTGCGTCAATTCAAATAAGCTGAAAGTGGTTATATTTACGAAGGCATACAAAATGACTGCTATAAACCCATTTTATCAAGGGGTGGGGAATGCATGGGTATGCCTTTTGAGCTAATTCCTTGAGGTGAAAATCGCACATATTCACAAAAGTGTTGGTAAATCCATTTGAAATGGTATGGGGAAAGCTCACGGGAAATTTAGTCCTTAAAATAGAAATTTTCAAGTTAAAAGAAGTTATGGAAGGCTGCAGATTGGTGAATAAAACTAGTAGAAATTCTTGGTGCTTCTTATAGTGTATACGGCAAGAGCTGAGAAAATATTGGTTTCATAATTTCGAAACTGCTCTTCTTCTTAAAATAAATGAAGAGATAGTATAACTAAGGAACTTGTGTCATCACTATGGGTCTCAAACTGGACTAAAAGAAATCGATGCTCTTTAATCGGACACCTCAACATAACATAAATTCAATCCAAACCACAAATGCTTTTTAAAAACAAAAATTTAAATGAATATGATCTCCTAGAATAGAAGAATTTAATTTTGAATTTCAAAAATTAAAATGTATTTAAATGATAATTTTTTAAAAATATTATTACTGCCTCGCACATATGTACTTACATATGTAGTTTTCGAAACATCATAAAAATCCTTATTTAATATCATTTACATACATAAATAACTTTAGTTGTAATACAAATTATATTATGAACTCTAAACTTTAAACTTAAGCTTAAAACTCTATTCTGCCTTTCGTCGTGCAAATGTTTTCATTCCAAAATGCATTGATATCTTCATAAATTTGTGTTTGCCTAACGGCCGGATGTGTCTGAATACGTTGACACAGCTCACAATAAGGCAACGTCTGAAGTCCTCCTTTGAACGTGTCGACCGTATAATAACGTCGCCACCAAAAATACTTGGCATACTCTAAGGGATTCCCATCTAAATATTTTAGATAGTTCGCCAGAGAGGAGACATTCTTAAAATCTTGAACGTCTATATATGAGTGAGGTGGTGCGAATAGTGTATAATTTGCGCCACCAAATACAACTGGAACAATTTGTCGCCGTAGAGCGTTATAGAACTTTTCCGTAACATAATCCAGACAAATTGAATTCTCAAAACTGAAATAAAATTTATAATCAGTATCGAGTAATTCATCACAAGCGTTGTCGAAGCGAGCACAACTGGAAAGAGAATAGAAAAAAATATATAAATTATTAGTATTTTACTTATATGTTGGTATTGTCGTTATGCCGCACGGGACAATTGTACACATTTCAGTTGGAAAAAGGATCGTAATATAATAAGTTGTTATATTGAGCGCAATAATTGAATCTATGGTGAATTTCGAGAAGATTTTCGTTTTCAAAATAGTTCAAAAATATTATGTATGAAGTTTTGAGGTGACCTCTCTGCGATTTTAAGAACCGATTACCCATAAATAACGAAATTACCAGTCAGTAGTATTTCTCGAAAAGAATTTAATTGTAATCAAGAAAATATTTTTCGTTAATTAAGTTATATAAACAAGACTAAGTTTGTTTTATTTTCTTTTCTTTTGCGTTTTTCTTTATTTTATTTTATTTTCTCTTTTTTAATATGTTAATTCAATTCATTTTAATTTGTTAATTTAATTTATATTAATTTCTTAATATAATTAAATTAAATTTATTTAATTTTTTATTCTGTTAAGTCTCATTTTATTTTATTCAATTTTATTTTATGTTCCTTTATTTTATATTATTTTAATTTGTTTAATTTTATTAAATTTATTTTATTTTGTTTTGTTTTATTATTTTATTTTATTTTTCTTTTCTTTTTTATTTTGATTTACTTCATTTAATTTCATTGTATTATATTTAGCTTTTTTCATTTTAATTTAATTTATATTATTTTGTTATATATTTTATTATATTTTGGTTTGTTTGATTTTTACATAATTCCATTTATTTTATTTGTTTTATTTTTTTTACTTTATTCAATTTTTTTGAATATATTTTATTTTGCTTCACTTTATTTTATTTTAGTTTATATACTTTTTATTTATTTCTTTTATTTTATTTTATTTTGTTTTATTTTATTTTATTTTATTTTATGTTATTTTATTTTATTTTATTTTAAGTTATTTTATTTTATTTTATATTATTTTGCCTTAATTTAATTTTTTTATTTTAATTTGCTTAATTTTTATTTTTTACTTTATTTTATTTTTGTTTCACTTTATTTTGTTATATTTTTTATTTTTTCCATTATTTCATTTTCTTCTATTTTGTTTTAATTTATTTATAATTTTTTTTATTTATTTTGTTTTATATTATATTACCTTAATTTAATATTATTCGTTTTAATTTGTTTAATTTTTATTTTATTTGATTTCAATATCATTTATGTATAGTATATCTTTTAATTTTATTTTATTTTGTATTTTATTCATTTATTTTATTTATTTGATATATCAATGCCAAGGCAAAAGGTAATAAGATATATCAATGCGAGGGCAAAAGGTAATAAGAGATAAGAAAAATTCTTCCCAAAAACCTCAAACCGTTAAAAAAAAATTACCTCAAATTCCCACACTTTCCATACACATCAACCGGCAGGTGGGCCTGTAGTTGTTTCACCAACTTCTCCCGCCTCGACGGTACTTTACAATTGGACACAAACCACGCGGCCAACTTTTTCTTCCGTCCGATTGACAACAATAAATCCGTATTATTTTGCGTCCAACTCGTATCAGCATTTCGCCACATCACCTGTGCTCTGGGTGCGACTATTTCCTCCGTTTCCTTCGCACGCATAACATTATAACTCCAAACAATATCCGAGTCCAAACGATACGTCATTGTGAGATTATAAAAGTTGCGCTCGGCATTCAAATTATGCCACGTGTGTTCTGGTGATTCTAATTGTGCGAAAACATAAAATTGATGCGCGGCGCGTTGTCGTGGCCGACTTTTCAATAACGAAAATGAGCGTGCTGTATGAAATATAATCGCTGCGTAATCTTCAACCGATGACAGATAGTGGACTTGATTCGTGATTATGCAATTGGCGTTTGGACATTTCGCGTGTAGCGTATCGACGGGTAATGTCCAGCGACTGTCACGGAAGAAACCATTCCAAAAGAGTATAACACTGGTTTTCTTGCTCATAATGGCGCGCAGTATCTTTCCGTCTATTGGAGTCGATGGTACATTTTGTTGTGTAAATAATACAGCTGAGATTAAAAGTAAGAACACTGTGAAGCTGCAAATTATTTTTAGCGCCAATTTGAAGACACGTTTGTTGATGTGCATTTTTACCGGCGCAAAGGAGGACGTTGGGTATTACAAAAAAGGCCTGTTCGGTTTATTTTTTCTTTTAATTTTTTTTCCTTTAATAACTGGGTGAGTCATCTGCCTTTATGTCGTTATGTAACAACTTAAAACCTTATAATTTATTTTAATATTGCACATTTTTTGTTTGCCTCGGAAAATTGTTTAGCTTAATTAATTTTATTTGGCGTTGGTAGAAAGAATTGTTGATTAATTTTCGCTTAATTCGAAATGAGCATAACTCAAAATAATCTTTACGGTCTATGAATTTTAATTTATTTTCTAAGCATTGTTTATAATAAATATGATATTATAATTTCACTTTTTTTCACCACATATTTTGAATATGTTTATTATTATAAAAAAAATTTACACATTTTATTTTATTTTATTTTATTTTATTTTATTTTATTTTATTTTATTTTATTTTATTTTATTTTATTTAATTTTTTTTCTATTTTATTTTATTTCATTTCATTTCATTTTAATTATTTCATTTTATATTTTTTAGTGCAACTGTAACGTAAAATAAAATATTTTTGTTTACTTTATTTCAATTTATTTTATTTTTATACAATTTATTTCTCTTAAGAAAATTGTTTAATTTTCTTTTGTTTCATTAATTTTATTTACTTTTATTTTTTGTTTTTGTTTTATTATATTTATTTTAATTTAATTTTATTTGATGTTTTTTCACTTTTTTCCTTGTTTATTTTGTTTTGCTTTTTCCGAATTTGACTTAACACCATATTTCCCTGTTCAACATTAAAAACTAACTTCAATTGTTAGTTATTTGGTTAGAAAACCGTTTATCGCAGTTATTCCAATATACTCGTAGGTAAATTAATATCTTATCGCTTAAAACCTTTATTGGTTATTGATACTCGAAATACACTAGCAAGAATTTATCTATAAATACAAGTACGTGCACACTTGGCTTAAAATATATAAAAAAAACCACTAAGACGATTTACGGCCGAGCTCCTACTCCAATGCATTTGGAGGGCTGTTCCTTGTAATCTGCCGCCTCCGGCTGGGCGTGAAACCACCGACTTTTGGGTGCCAAACAGTAAATCTTAGACACAACTGAATGGAGGGGAGAATTTTAGAAAATTTGGTACTTATAAATCCCCTGCAGCAAAGCAACAACAATGAATTTTTCCTAGATCCAAAATCGTCATATCTTCCATATAGTTTACCTTATATTTTGGAGCGATCCGTGGACTTAGTTTTTAGATTATTCTTATGTTCACTTCCTCCCGAATTTAGAACTCCTTAACTCGATATTGGTCTGACCCAGTTTCGAGTCCATAACGCTCCGCATGGTAGGACGCACTGCAAACCACTCGGCTAATTTTCGCTACCTCATGGTAATATATATGTATATATTTATGTATATATAGTAATATATAGAATTTTTACCATAATATTCTCATGTGTCTCCGTAAATGTATGTATGTATGTATATAGATAAGACTGACAAGCTACTGCCTCATACGCACAATATTTGATTAATGAAGTACAAACTTAAGTATATTAATACATATGTACATACATATGTACCTAATTACACATTGTGAACTATTTTAAAGTTTGTTAAAAAAAGGGCTTGCAGCGCCATTAAACCAGGGAAATTTTCATTGGAGATAGGCAATAATGCATACACATATGAGGAAATCAACAAAAGTTCGTTAAGTTGACCAGAAAAAAATACTTTTTGTATTTATTCGTAATCTTTGTCCTTTTTATCTTCTCTACACAATCACGATTGATTTCGATGCATTCCTGAAGCCTAAAGATCCACTACTGAAAACAGTCTTCAAAATCTTGTTATTTTCAGCTCATCAAGCTCAGTATTAATCGCATTAATTATCTCCTCGTTGCTATTAAAGACCTTTTCTTTTACATATTTTTTAATTTTTGGAAATAACCGGAAATCTCAATATGCTACATCCGGGGAATATGGTGCTGGACGTATTTCTTCGATCCCAGAAATCACAATAAACATTTCGTGAGGTAAAAAGTAGCGCCGCAAATCCTCTTTCTTCCTCTTCATCCAACAAGTTTTTGAAAACTTTTGGTAAGCACTCTTTGGTGTACCATTTTGTAGTTACCGTCTGAGTCCTTTTCCAGTAGAATAGCAGCACCGATTTTAGGTCGAATGAAGGAAAATTACTTTTTCTGCTGATTTCTGTTGCTTAGATTTTACGGCTGAGTTTGCTCCTATTGGGCTTCATACCATAGACTGCTGTTCGGTTTCTGGATCGTACTTATAGAACCAAGATTCGTCACCAGTAATGACTTTACTAAAGTTGCTAGGCTGACCATTCTCGAATTTGTTTAGGAAAAAATGAACAAAATGTACTCGTGTCGCTTTTTTGGCCTGATTTAAAATTCGTGTTACCCATCGAGCAGATTTCTTCGTGTATCCCAGACGTTTACTTAATGTTAGCGACACAGCTATGGCATTCAGGCTCAATACATTAGCAATAATTTTTTGTGTCAATCGTGGGTCTTTTTCACTTTTGGACTTCCCCAGAGCTACAGTGACGTCATCAGTAGAAGATTTTTGTTGTCCTTTTCAGGGCTCGTCCTCTATGGAAAATGGTCAGGTCTGGAATTTTCGGTACCACTTAGAAAAAGTCTTTTAAGATGGTGCAATCGTTCTATATGCGATTGACAATCACTGAATATTTTTATTGGCTGTAAATTAAGACGAAACAGGAATAAAATCACATGGCGAATTTCTCCTTGCTTTGATGGTGGAATTTCGTCTGACCTATTCTCAGCTTTATTGCGTTTTCTCGTCTGCATTTTAGCCGATCGTTCTAAAATTTGGAAAGAAGACTAATAAAGTAATTGCAAAGGATTCTGAATTTTCAGATTTGAAAAGAAAAAAATTGAAAGTCACCAACTGATCGAACTTTTGTTAATCCCCTAGTATATTTTGAATGAACTCTTATTTATAAATTAAATTATTTAAAGTATTTTTGCTATTTTCAGTATTTAAGCCATTTTCTTATTATTGCACGCATCGCCAAATATTGCATTCAATGAGTCGCGTTACTAGTATTCATCGAGTTTATGAGGCATCTTCTGAAATCTCTCAATTTGAAGCATTGCTGTGGAGCGTTAGGTTTATTAGATGCGTTCGCCTCATTGGTTTTCCTTAGCAATAGTTGGTTCTTCGTTAAAAATCTGAACGAATTGCAGTCTAACCCCGCTGGTCACCAATCGCCAGGAAGATCTTCTCCCAAACCCGTATCTCTTCAGCGGCTCAAAAGTTGGGAAACGCTGTTCTAGTTAGCTTTTTTTTTTGTTCTCTCTCTATCTACTATGTCGCTTTCAAACCAGCCAACATGTTGTGCATATGTACAATCATAACTACACACATTAGTACATGCATTAGTAAACATTAAAATACATTTATATTTACTAATAAAATTTCATTCATTCAACAACTCTTTGTTTGCAACTCTCGATTTTGAATTTGATTTTAGCGAACAGCTGACTTGCATGGTAGGTGATTGGCAAACTCAATTACATAGGTGTATGTATGTACATTTGTATATATAATACATACACGTATGTATGTACGATTATGCCACATTAGTGCCGCTCTATGAAAGTTTATAAAGTGCCAAAGCAACTATAGTCAAGGTTTCAGTTGAATCTTGGCTTGTTAACATTTAAGTTTAGTTCAATTCCGGCCGGACTTCTAATTAACAGCAAATAAACTATGAATTTTCTAAGCCTTATACTAGTTGTTACGGTTTTACAGTTTTTAAATGCTTACAATGTACGGTGTGATGAGAAATCATCGACAATTAGACCCGTGGAAATTTCTATGGAAGTGAATATACGTGGAAATAATTTAACGGTATTTAGTGAAAAATTAAGCAAATTTTAATGTGATTTTTTATTACTTAAAGTAATAAAAAATATATATATGTATGCACATGTATCTCTAGTTTTTAGTCACTTAGCATCAAAAAAAAAATATACATACTTTTGAGTCGGCTGTAGTTGAAACATCTGGAGAGATGTAAACCATGGGCTTCCGTGTTCAAGTCTGGCATTTGCTTACATATATATATGTAGGTGTATTTGTGTATATGCACAAATACTTTGCACTTGCATAAACGTTAACATCACTTGGCAAGGTATGACAAGCAAAAGCCTGGTTCTCTTGTAAGTCGAATAACGGGAATAGTCAGTTCTTCGTTCGACGCTCATTGGGAAGTTGTTGTGCAGCTTCAGTTATCCGTTGACCTTAAGAGCATCTGATGCAAATTGTGAAAAGGCCAGTGTGCCTAACCCAATGGGAATCCTCCCTCCTAGAGCATTGATTTTGTTACTTTTTAACTTTTTAGTTTAATTTTTTGTAAGAAATATTTTCATATCCCTCTCGTCGGTGTAATGTTCAAAGGAATAACTTTCGTTTTCTTCTTATCCAACTCATCTTTTTTTCAATCTCTTGCACCATCTCGTCAGTCGGTATGTTCGTGTGAGTCGGCTTACATTCCATGCTCTCCTTCAGTAGCTAATCTCAGTGATTAATCGCGAAAATCCTTAGCTGTTGGTTTTTGAGTACATTTTGGTTAAGTACGAGTCCCACACGAACACTCTTCGTCTATACAGTGAATGCAGTCTTTTTTCTCAGTCATCAAGAACTCAGCTGTGCAGGAAATACACTTGGTGGAGCTGCCGAAATAGGCAACATTCATAGCTTTTCATGGTGTATTCTTCAAAGCTCCACCAAACTATGGGCACCTGCAGTCTTATTAGGTTAGTCAGACCCAAACTATCAAAAATTGAATAATGATACACAAAAAGGGTTACCCGATGGAGATATTAAAAGGAGAAAACTATTGCTCTAGCTCATCATTAAGCTGCAAACGACTCGATGCCGAAATGATTGAATGGTGGCTACTCTAAGAGCAGAAAATACTATTTGGAAAATTATATAAACTTAGAGTCTTTGGATTTAAGGGAGCGCATATATTTTCATCTACAAAGAAATTAGACTCTGGAACTTTACTAAAATCTTACAAGTAGTAAAAATGAGTAATGAAAATGAAATCAGAAAAATCAGAATCCGCCGATTACCTAGACAAAGCATCAAACTCACACAATATACCGTTGTATTTATCATATTTTTGTGTAAAATTTTAAGCCAGATGTTTATAGAGGTCAATACCCTGATAACCTATTTTATTCAATAATAATTATTTACTTAGAAAGCTTTAAATACAATCAACAAATGTGAATAGCACTTTTTTGAAAATATAGAAATATTTAATATTGATTATTGTGCAATTTTAAAGAAAAAAACAAAAACAACAAAACAAGTAAATGCCATAAAAATATATAAAATATTAATAAAAAGATAAAACAAAGCAAAATAGAATACAATTAAAACAAAAATAAAACTAAATAAAAAAAATTAAATAAACTAAATATTATATACAGAGCTATCCATTTCGCGGTTTCAAAAAAAAAACGTAAATAAATGGCATTTAAAATAATTCTTTTTTGTATGAAATTCCTTTTTTATAATAAAGTTTGACGCCTTGGCATTATATTTGAAACTTTAGCTCATTCTAATTACCGCCTCCCGAGTTTTCGAAAACTTTGATCCTCTTGAAATAGTTTTCGACCAATTTTCGGCACATATTGGGTGGTATCTCAGCCATAACTTGTCGAATGTTGACTTTCAAGTGCTCAAGAGTTAAAGGTTTTTTCCTCGTGTACCCACAAGAAAGGTACAACGGTGTTAAATCCCCTGATTTCAGTAGACAATTGACAACGCCAAGACGAGAGCTCACGCAGCGGAGGAATTTCTATCGCAATAAAGCCATATTCAATCGTGTTGCGTAGCAAAAAGTCGGTTATCAAACGTCCATGACGCTCCGAACTCACAGTGCCAGCATCCCCGTTGTGGGTTTCAAAGATGTCCTCTCTTTAATTACTTGAGGAATCGCAGTCGTTCAAGCACCCTAGAGACGTATATACTTCATAGTGAATGGACAGTTGTTAGGTGAGCTGGACTTTATAAGTATGTAGGTATAAATGCTAATGCAAAATACGTCATAATGTGTCCTGAGAAAGTCTCAGCTCTTGAGAACGTCGAGAAATAACCACATTCGTCTCATCTGCTCACTTACAGTATCAATATTTAAGGTGGAATGAGTAAAACGATAATGGAAATGCCTTAAACTTTTATAATAGCTTGAATAGTTGGACGATTATGTGTACCATGATCTCCTCTTTAAGGATGAATTACGATTTTTGTAGTAAATTTTAACAATTTTAACGCGTTTTGCGGTTAAATTATCTATTTTCAGAAATGTCTGACTTTTAACTAAAACAAAACATTTTGGTTTGACATTTAGGTTTGACATATGTCAGAATACAGCCTTGTATTTTTGAAATCACAAAATGGATGACCCTATATAATTATGTAAAATTAATGAAACAAAACAAAAATAAAACGTAATAAAAAAAAATAATAAATATTTAAAAAAAATAAAATTTTAAATTAGAAGAGTCCAATAAAATATAAATTAAAATAAAATAAATAAATTAACATAAAATTAAATTTAATTGAGTAAAATGAAAAAAATTAAACTAAATACAATAATATAATTTATATACACATACAATTGGATTAAATTGAATTAAATAAGAAAGATTAAACAAATACAAAACCAATCCCTTCTTACTTACATATCTCATTTCTTTGTCCCCCCCACAGATGTCGTACAAAATCGAACCATTGCCCAACTCTTACACCCACCTTGGTGAGGGACCACATTGGGATGTTGAGACCCAGAGTCTCTACTATGTTGACATTGAAGCTGCTAAAATATTGCGTTACGACTATCAGGAGAATAAAGTCTACCACAGCCAAGTGGAAGGCATTGAGCTTGCCGCCTTCATTGTACCAGTTGAGGGACAAAAGAACAAATTTGTTGTTGGAGCTGGACGTAGTGTGGTGGTCGTAACATGGGATGGCGTTTCCGAAACGAGCAAAGTAGATCGTGTGCTCTTCGATGTACAACAAGATGAACAATTTAAGGTCAATCGTTTCAACGATGGTAAAGCTGATCCACGTGGACGTCTTTTTGCCGGCACAATGCGTTATATTGGTGATGAGTTCAAGGATCGTTGGGGTGAATTGTACAAATACGAAAAGGGTGGCAAAGTGTCGGTGGTGAAATCGGATGTAGGCATCTCGAATGGTTTGGCATGGAATGAGAAATTGAAGAAATTCTATTACATAGACACAACCGATTATGAGGTGAAGGAGTACGATTATGATTTTGAAAATGGTGTTGCAAGTAAGCGACGATGATAATAAGTAGTAGATTTGATGTGTGAAATTATAAAAAAAAAATTTTTTTTTCTTCATTTCCCTTCCTGTAGGTAATCCAAAAGTTGTTTTCGATTTACGCAAACCAAATCCCAAGGATAATCTCTTGCCTGATGGTTTAACCATTGATAGTGATGGAAATCTCTACGTGGCCACATTTAACGGACACACCATTTACAAGGTCAATCCAAGGTGAGTTCCTGTGAGTATAATAAGAAGAAGAACAAAAATAAAATATATATTTTTTTGTCCTCTAGCAACGGCAAAGTTCTTTTGGAAATCAAATTCCCTTGCAAGCACATCACCTCATCCGCTTGGGGTGGACCGAATCTCGATATTTTATTTGTAACCACATCGGCTAAATTTGAGGGAGACGCACCGGCTGGCACCACATACAAGATTACCGGTTTGGGCGCCAAGGGTTTGCCAATGGCAAAGGTTCAGCTTTAATTGCGTGCAAATAAGTTATAGCAATGGACATTTTATATATATATACATGCATGCATGCATACACACATACATAATTCCAAGCTTTTGTTTATGAGAAACATTTATATTTTTATATTTTAAAATAAATAACATTGTGAACAGCGAAAAAAGGTAAAAAAGGTTCTTTTTACATCAAAACATATGATTTCAAGTGTATTTTCGTACCCAAATACCTCAGAGGCTATGTACGGAAGCTTATACGAGCACTATGACCCAGATGTTAAAAGCAAATATTCAAATATACTTACACATGATGTGCTAAGTGGATGGCAATAGAAAGGTAAGAAGCCTTCTCCTGTTGTAGCTCTCATTTTTTGGATTTTATTTCCACCTTTGAGGTGGTGTGACTGACTTTAGAGAGTTTACGACAGCCTGGCCGTCAGACTATATTGTAATAGGTTGGTTTATTGTATTAGAAACGAGCGGCCGTTAAGTGGCTTCTGTTAGCGCGGTTATTTCCGCTTAAAAGACCCTGCATTGGTCGAGAAGTCTTGTAGTTAACTCTCTAGCAAGAAGTTTGACATCTAGCTTAGAGCCATCGGCGAAAGTGCTTACGGATCCTTCCTCTCTAGCATTTTTGTTGAAAAATCTTGGCGAAACAGAAGACGGAAGTGGTGTAGTCCACTTCTTACTATAATTATGTCGAGTTTAGTATCCTATGCGGTTCTTCCATGGTTGAGCTGCCTTTAGTCTTATGACATTGCAGTTTGCATGACGTTTTCCGTATAGGTCTGCCGGGAGAACATCAAGCAGAACTTCAAAGGTTTTCGTAGGAGTTGAGAGCAAGTAATCTGTAATGGTGTGGCGGCCGTCCACTGAACTTTTCCCAATTTGCTCCTATAGGTAGCCTGGTCTAGTGCTGGCCACGAGACATTCCGTAGAATAATATAGGCCTTTTCTACCGCTTTGCATAATCAGCGCTCAATATGGTCTTAGTCCCCATCTTTTACCGGTCAGCTTGTGGTCGTAGAGTGCGGTCGTAGCTTTCTTACACTTTTCTACCCTGCCCGGTTCCAGTTGGGTTTACAATCTAAGATTATACCTAGTGAGCCTCAGCAGAAAAAGCGATATCGATGTCTTTGAGTAAGGATCATTCTATCTTCTGGTGAAGAATACCAGTTCGGTCTTAACATAAAGACCGCACTTACTGCACCAGCTACTTACTGTGTAAAGGGCAAGTGGAGAAAAGCTAAGCTATTTCGGTACGAAACTCTTTGTAGCAAACGTTAGCTTGTTTTATCACCATGCTGGACACAGCAAAGCCAAAGACCCGAGCGGTGGCTGAGTTATTAAAATATAAGGGCGAAGAACTGGGGAGGAGCATGCGTTAGCTTCTTTGCCGAAACTTTGTGGTCGGCCGAAAGTATGCCCCCCCAACATTCGAACTTAAGTGTGAAAAATACAAATCAATCAAACAAACAGTCAGCGTATTTGCGTCTGGACTCCCATATAGCTCTGGCAATCATTACTTTGAAGCAGTGGATAATTTCACCTATCTCGAAACCAACATGAAAACAATGTCAGTCTTTAAATCCTGTAAAATGTGTCCTGTAAAATGTGCTTTTTTTATGCTAAAAACTGAGTCCGAGAGATCGAAGAGAGGTGAAATTAAAATTAAAATAGTGGAAAACGGCCAAAGGATTCATCCAATTCATAATTTGTTTTACATGACTTTAATAGTGAAGGCCTCAACTGCCTAGATACACGAGTTGGAAAAAGTTTACCTCATATGCGAGCCATGAACTATAATTTGATATGTTGAGAAGCTTCACTACGAACAATGCGCCCACTATTTTCCTACGACTAGAACGATGAGCTTTACGAGAGGGATCTACATTTATTTCTAAGCCTCTTACGGATGGCTGATAGATTTTTAATGTTGAGCCCTTTATTCCCAGTCATAAATTTACGCAGATGGCTTGACATTACCTGCCGAGATGTGATGAATTTTAAATGTGGAGCATTTTATTTCTTGTCATAAATTGACGCAGAGGGCTTGTCATTACCTGCGGAGGTGTGATTGCGATTTGAGATTTGGATTTTCGAATGGCAGCACGTAGTGCAAAACACTCGACTTTTGTTGCGCCGAGAGAATGAGAAAGACCCATTAACTGTTAAATAGTGTACGGAAGGTGTTCGAGAGAAATGACTCAGTTGGGTTTGTAGATCTGAGAAATGCCATTACTTTTATTATATTTCTTTATTGAAAAGACAATGCAGAAATATGTAAGTAAATTAAGAAGGCTCACAAGTGTTTTCGAGTTGAATAAACCGCCTTATAAGATTTTGAAGGTTAAATAAATTTAATTGTTAAGAAGAAGCTTATAAAGAGTAATTTCACTTGGTCTAAACTTAGTAATATCGCATAGCAGTCAAAAAATGTCTAAATTCGCTGGCGGGCAGCATATTCTTTTACGTAATATGCACATATATAAAACTCAAAACTTAACTAACCTTAAACTAAATGTTTTTTTGTTTGTTTTTAATACATTTTAGTTGCGCTTTTAATTTGTCTATATGTTTGTTGTGATTCAGTAAGTTTTTCAAACACAATTGTGTACTTTTGAAATTATTTGTAAAGTCATTCTCTTGAAATAGGCCAACTATCAAGTAGAGACTTTGAATGGAACTCGAGTCAGCATGGGTGAGGGACCACATTGGAAATATCCGAATTTATATTATGCCGATTTGGATACTGGACAAGTGGTGCGATACGATACAATAACAAAAAGGACATACAAATGTCAAATAGGTTGGTCGTGGGTGAAAAACTAGCTCTACTCGGTGAGCTAATGGGTACTAACAACTGTTACCAATTTTTACTAAACCACGTTTCGGCTACTAACAAAAGCTTAAAATGACGAGCAGAGTAAAATAAAAAAAAATTTTTAGCAAAATATTTATTTAAAATATGCTCATATCCGTTGCTAAATAATGGAAGAATAACTGGCTCCGAAACGCTTAAAGGAAAGGATCTTTTCTAAACTCTAACTGTTGTAGGCATCATGCTTCCCTTCGCGAATATACAATAAGTCGCCTTTATAAGCTGACTTTACCCAAGGCAACTGGAACTTATTTGAAATGGTTGGAGCCATGACTCATTTGAAGAGTTATGTTAAGGAGCACGCGTCGGTTGACGGGAAGCCAAGAAAAAACCGCCACTTTTTCTTCGTATTTTAAAAATTAACTTACATAGTTTCCCTCTTCCTTTCCGCACAGTAAATCACCGCAAAGTTTCTTTCATCATCCCTTACAAAAATTCCGATACTTTATTTGCTGTTGGTCTAAACCATCTTGCTGCACAAATATACTGGGATGGCTTAGCGACAAAGTGTCATGTGATAAAGCGATTATTTGAGGTGGAAACAGAGAACCCACGCGATATACACAACTGTTTGAATGATGCGAAATGTGATTCTAGAGGACGTCTCTTTACTGGCACGGGTAATTGTGATTTCGACAATGCTGGTGTGAACGATCATGGACCATATAGAAATTTATATAAATTTGCCGACGGTAGATTAGAGCGTATTCTACCCAATGTTAATCTCTCAAATGGTATGGCTTGGAATTATAAACGTAAGGAATATTATTACATAGATAGCGGCCGAAATGATATTATACAATTCGATTATGATTTGGAAACGGGTCGAACGGGTGCGTTGCTTTCGATGAAAATCAAATTATTGTGATATCTCTTTTTACCGAAAATTACTGCATTTTTTCAGCTAATCCAAAGGTCGTATTTCATTTGGATACAAGTGAGTTTCCTCCAAATTTCACTGGTTGGATTGTTATGGACGGCATGACCAAAGGTACAGCTGGTTATCTGTATGTTGTTGTACACGGTACCAATAAAATTTTAAAAATTTGCACCAGGTAAAAGACTATTAAGAGATTCAGTCGTTGCATGTCTCTCAAAATTCTCCCTATATCTCTTTACATGGGCCCATAAAAACGTATGTCATCATCCGGCAACGTATTTCACCACACTAGGAAGTGGAGAATTGTCGAACACATTGAAACACCGTGTCAATTTATATCTTCAGCTACCTTCGGTGGTGTGACACTCAGAGAGCTTTACGTTACATCTGTAGATTTGCAAAATGCGACAACTCCTTGTGGTAAGATATTCCGAATTAGGGGTTTTACCGCACGAGGGGATCCCAATGAATCTATTAGTGATATTTGATTGAAACATTTGTTTATGCAATAAAAAAATTAATTATGTTTAAAATACTTGATATTTTCCCTCCATACAATCGTTAACTTTTCTTGGCATTTAAGTTGATTCTAGTCAACAGCCAAACTAGGATGCAGGTAGTCAATAAATTTATGTATTTTTTTGTGACTGATGGAAAGCTCAAAAACACTCTTTCAAATAGTATGTGTTAATGCAGTTTAGTTTTTATTAAATTAAAAAAAAATACTATAGAAAATTTCGGTTTGCAATTTTCAGATGGAGTTTATTCGAGACAACCGATTTTCAGTTATTCTACCATTGAATTAGGTACACGGTTAATAGCAATTACACATAAGTCAGAATTTAATCTAAGCAAATATTTTATATTGCGTATTTTTTTTATTCTATGGTATTCAATGAGGTATACTTTTCCTTTAGTTCCATTAAATTATAAAATTCCACTAATTTTATATACTATTGTATATATACATATGTATGCCTAGACGTTGTATAAAATTCAGAACAACTTCTCCCAAGTTAGGGTTTGCAAAGTTTTTCGTCATAGAAGCAATGTATGCCAAAAACAAACGTCTAAACATAACGCACTGAAGAGGTTGTAAGTGTTTTAACAGTGCCTTATAGTTGATGAATAAGTCTGCTGTGTCCAAGCGTGCATTAAGTATTTTTTTCATCGAAAATACTTAATGCAGCCTAATAAAATGCTTGGACACATTACCGTGCTCATCCACCGCCAGGTATATTACAATCCATTGATGTATTCACTACTCGTCCGATACGGCGATTTGGACGTAGGCCTTGGTTGAAACCACCACCTCCACCGCTACCGCCACTACCGCCGCCGCCACCACCACCATAGGGACCACCTCCACCGCCGCCAGAGCCCCAACCACCACGGCGAGTATTGCTACTTCCGCTCTGATTGTCGTTGTTCATAAAGGGTGCCATAAGCGTTTTGAAGCTGAAATGTCATAAGTAGTATGTGAGTAAGCGTATATTTCCCAATTAAGTGTATCAAGCATTCAGGAAACTAACTTACAAGGTCACTGTCACAAACCAAATACTTGTGAAGATCTCTAAAACGCGTGCTATGCTCCATGGCCTCCGCTCCACGACTCGACCATCTGTGGTAATAATTTTTATTTAACCATTTTTAGACGAATATTAAAAGTATTTACTACCTCGATCTATGTACACCATTCTGTGATGGCGTCACAATTGGAATTTGGATTTCTCTAATAGAAACAAAACAATTTTCCTTAACTCACAGAAGATAAATAAAACAATAAAGCACTTCTTCTTGGAAAACAAATGCAGAGAACTTCACTTTATACAAAATGACGTGTACTTATTTTCATATGTTTCACTGTGTACAAAACTAGAGCTAGATGGCGCTCATGACGAAATCAAGCAAGGTGCTCTTACTCTATTAACCAAAAGAATGGAGTATTATCATATGCAGTTCAATATTTAATATGATGTATAACATCTACAAAAACAAATAGAATTTTTAACTACAATATATATAAAGTTGAATAAATATTTGCAATAAAAAAACTTTAAAGTTCTTGGTACGATCATTTATATATGTACATAGTCCGGCACCATTATAATTGTCTTATTTCACGGCATTCAAAACAATATCAGCTGATAAGTGATATGAAAATTAAACAAAGGAAAATTATATACATATATAGATAAGTAAAAAGTGCACTGAATTTTTACGGAGGTTTATTTGAAATTCCAATTATATCAATTAGTAAAGATATGCTACAATATAACAAATACAACTACGCTTTGGAAGAGTGAGAACATTGACAATACAAAAATTTGTAATTGATTCCAGAGTGTAAATCTAAAATGTTATGCACTTACATAAATTAAATACAACTTGTGAGTACTATTGATATGTATTCAATTAAAAAATGTTGTTTTTTAGCATAAAATCATCTTCCTTGTTTTTCATTTTAGTAGAAGAAAATGGCGATGACAATCGAACATTTAGAAACTAAAATCCAAGAATGCTTAGATCTGCTACCTATTACTGAAAGGAATTTTCTTAAAGTTTGTATCTATATACAAAACTAGACATCTTTGCCGTTTTAATAACAAAACTATATACTTTGATCTTTTCCAGAATTGGCTGCTTAAATTAAATCCGTCGAGCACCAATATAGTACCTGCAGATTTTGATAGCGTAACACAATTGCTTCAATGTCATATCTATCCTGTTTTGCAAATATTAAGTTTGAATCGAGATAAATGTAAACTTCAAATCGATCGTGTTATTCTTGAAGTATTACAATTGCTATTGAAAAAAGACGATGCCAAAAATCGTGACCCGTTCATTAATTTCATTGTGAATTTTCCATTAATCATACTCAATGTGCCAGCGTTACGCTTAAAGCTGACAAAATTACTAACTAAAGATATTGAAAGTTCAGACGATATTTGTTTGGCCCTACTAGCTCGTCATGACTCGAATTTATTAGTTGAAGTACTAGAACAATCACACGAAAAGTGGCTAATTTGTTCAACTGGTGCACCAAGTAAAGAGTTTATATTGCAGCAAGCTTTGCGAAATAAACTGCACTTTGCTCCACTTACAGCGAGGCAGCTAAAGAACGCGAGTAGTATTTCAAATAACGGCTTGCGCAATAATTTGTTAATACTGAAAATAGCCGATGAATTATCCAACACCAAGCAAACATTATCCGAATTAGGAAATATAAATAAATGGCTTGGGGATTATTCTATAGATGGGACTCCTGCGCATTTGCAAGAAATACATAAATTCTTTTATGCAGATTTTCAACGTATTGCACTAATATTAGATTTTCTAAAAAGATATACGGATATATATAAGGGAATAACATTAGATGCAATTCTTAATGGCAGATGTGTATTAAAGCTGCTTTATGATCATGATATTGATGCAAGGTAAGCTTTATTGTAAGTCCTATACACCGAATTTATTAAAACAATTTTTTTTCAGCTTTGATGATACCCGGCGTTTACTAGATGCCACACGCAAATGGCAAATACAGTTAACAAATATGAAATGTTTTTATGAGCTCGAAATGGAGACTTTAAATTATTATACCGCACTCTCCACAGTTTGTGACATAATGTTGCCCAGCCCAAATATATGCGATTTTGCCAACTATTGTGATAGTAAAATACAACAACTTAATGGAATGTTACGCAAAATCCTTAATGTAGATATGTTGTGCGCACTTATTGAGGACATCTTCCAATTAATTTTCTTACGTTGGGAACATTTACGCCACTCCTCTGGCACACATTCTTCCGCGTCTCATGCAAATCGCAGTTTCTCGGCAGCGAACTCCACTGGTGTTAGTAGTACTGCTGAAATAGCTTTTGAGACACCTACAGCATCGATGCGTTCAACACCGCATTCAGTTGAGAGTAGCGGACGCCACGGTTTCATTTGCAATGGACAAGCGTTATATGCTATCTTCGTATTTCTCAAAAACTTTATTACCAAAAAAATGCATTCTGAAGATTATAAACTTGCTTCGGAGCGTGTGCAGCTACGTTTTCAACGCATAATTGATGTTATAACTGAGGCACTATGGAAATATGGCGTTCTCCAGAAATTCGATCATTCAGTCAACTTAGCAAATACATCGCGCAAGTTTGGTTTGGATGCTAAAGAGCTGTTACGATTAGTACATATCCATCCTGATACGATGGAAAAGACTTCTAGTGATGATGACAGTCGGGATCGTAGTAATCAAACTAATTTGACACGTCGTAAAGCCTCGCGAAAGAAACGACGAGCCACAATTAGCGGCGCAGCAGGCATAACACGTCCAGTTGTTGAGCGTAATGACATAGCAGAAACAGCCAATGCTCATATAATGACTTGTAGTGTAAACGCTGCAGGTGATATAGAGGACAATGCAGTGGAAGAATTGAAGTCGCGGCGTGATTACATTCGCTTGTCAGAGCGTAGTATTATACCACAAATGTTGGGTTCACCCGAGAATTTAGCTATAATGGCATTATCATTGAAAAATTTCGATGATGTCAAATTCATAATTGAGGTGGGTTGAAATATCATTGATTATTGAATATTTGTAGTAAGGACTAACCACAATAACAACGAAAATGTAAATGGGATGCATCATGTAGCTCAACTCATCATGTTTTGCCCGCATTTGAAAAGGAAGCTCCTTATAATAATTCTTTCTTTACTCTTATTTCTTCTAAATGGTAAATATTTTCTTATCACTCATACGCCCGGCAGGTGTTGAGGTTAGAAATGAACTCAAACGGCTAGAAGTTGAGCAGAAAGTGTTTTACTGGCATAGCACCATTTCAGTCTAATGATATGAAAATTAATCGGGTATAAAGATGGAAATTTATTGATTTATAACATTTTTTGAATATAAGAAAAATATGATATAACGGAATTGAATACAAGCCGTAATAGCAATAGTCAAAAATACTTATAAAAAAGTCGGTTTTGTAAAATGATGCGTTACCGTTATTTTAAGTTTTATGTGTCATCCATCTTATCATCATCCGTTAGGGAAAACTTTTCTCTACAATGGTATTTGAAGTCGACCGGTTTTAGCCAAAATCCATTTGCAACAGGCAACCATTTGTTCAGTAACAAAAGCAAAACGAACATCAAATAAATCTATGCAAAAAATAGTTTATAAAAATCATGGCAAAGTGATGAAAATATTAAAATTTAAACTTTTTTTGCTATATAATACCGGAAGACCCGGCCACCAGCTGCTGTGGCTTTCTGCATTTTGTAGAAAAAAAAAAAATGATGGGTTACTACCTTTATCACTTATGGGTATGAGGAATAGATGTTAGCCGATTCTCAGACCTACTGAATATAGATATATATGCATATATATATAATAGCGCTTTAAAACCGCTTAAGCGATGATTTTCGGCTGAGTTCCTCCTCCGATTTGTGGTTTTGCGTCTGATGTTTTTCCAACAAATGGAGGGACTTACAGTTTATGCTAAGCCGCCTCCGAACGGCTTTGCCTCATGTCAGAAATACTCTCGGAGGTGTTGACATTCCCTGCCAAGGGGCGACCGCAATTAGAAAATTTAACTTAATTTTTTATTTAAATTAATTTTCTATAAGTTTTTTGAGTGTTAGTACGACAGCAGGATTTGAACCCGAGTCTTCCGAATGGCAGTACGCAGCCGCCCTACCTAGGTCTAGCCCTCGGAGAAGTATCGTGTCTAACGAGAATTTTATATATCAGATTTTATTTTTAAATTCTAAATAATTTTTATTTTTTTTTGTTTGCTTAATCGAATTTAATAGGATTTAATTTAATTTTATTTTATTTAATTATATTAAAATAATTGATTTATATTACTACGGCTATAATTTGATTTTTTTCCATTTCAATTCAATTTAATTTTTATTTAATTAAATTAAAATTATTGATTTAAATTAATTTGCTGTTTTTTATTGCATTTTATTTATTTTTTATAATTGAATTAAGTTTCATTTAGTTTCATTTAATTTATTTTGCTTTTTCAGGTCATTATTCTGTAGAATTGTTTTTGGGTTTTTTTTTAGTTTTATTTTATATTATTTAATTCGTTAATTATTGTATTAATAAATTATTTTAATTCTTTTTCGAATTCTTCTTTAATTCTTGCACCACCTAGCGGTCTATCTAGCTCTAGGTTTAATATATTTTTATTTTTTTCCTTGATTCTCAACAATGCTTTTCCCTTATTATGCACGCTTAAGTTTAAAAATTTTACAGGTACAATATTTCTATAAAAGCTTTAAATTTTTATTCATTTTTCAGACCTTCCATCTTCAAAACACCGCACTCAACCGTGAGTTGACGTTCGTCGAGCAGCAACAACAAATCAAGCAAAAATTGTCAACAATTTACGAGCATTATCTACAAAAAGAAAGCAGCGGCGACAGCGGCAGCGCAGATGTGGAACAACCAAAAGCCACTGTGGAGCAAATACGCAATGTAGCCGGCAAGGGATTCGACATCTCACGCATACTCAGTGTGATCGACACATTTGCACTAACACAACGCATACAGCCGACAACGGAACAGCAACAGTTATGTGAGCGATATGTGAACAATCCGCAATATGCATTCTTGCGGAATTTCGAGGCGCACAATTTAAATGCATTCATCATTACCGATTTGGTGCTGAATCTGCCATTTAATCGTGAGATCACCGCCAATGTTTTGGCGATTATTAGACGACAGCAACAGTTAGCCAATGCTGGTAGTATGAGCCATTCGGTAAGGGGTGATGAGAGTGCCGGCGCCGCCGCCGCCAACAACAAAATGTGTGATATAGGCGCTTTGTCGTTGCTGGAATGTCTAAGCGAGTGTTTGCTGTTGCTGCCGCAGCATTGTCTATCACAGCTGCTCACGGATAATTATTATACGCTGAAACCAAGAAAATTGGCATTGGAGTTGCAACGCGAGCGCGCTTTTAATGCGGTTTTCAGCAAAGCGGCTAGTGAAGTTGGTCATATTGATGATTTGAAAACGCATGCGCCACTCTTTTACGACCTCCAAGCAAAGTCCAATTACTACCAACGTTTCGTCGCGTACGTGCAATATTTAGCGCAGCTTGTACAGCTGCGTGATCGCAATTTGGTCTATCATACGAGCGCATTGTTGCGTATCAACGTCTGCGATGTTATTGGCGAGCTGATATTCGAATGCAATATGACACCGCTGGAGATTGAGGCGAATGTGGCGGCGTTGAATTTGAATTTGGTGCATGTGATAGCGTTGAATGTGTGTCCCGAAATCGCTGGCAGATGTGGCGGTGCTGCCGTGGGTAAAGGAGATTGGCGCAAAATAAACAAACAGAAGGCCGAAAGTATACTCAATTATGTAGCGAATCAGAATTCACTGCTAGCTTGTCTGTTGCAAGGTGTCATCAATACTGTAGCTGGCGCGCCGCCGACGGCTAGTAATACTTTAAATACCAGCTTCCTGCAGTCATTGTTCGAGCTGGAGGAGATTGAACGCATAGCGCCGCTCTTCAAAGGCAACAAATTTGTCGCCGCTCTGCGTTCGGATTATGACCCTAGCAGCTTGGTTGCAGTAGCCAACTCAAAATTGACTCAATTGGAATTGTTATCACTCGATTTGGGTTATCAGCCGAAAGCGTTGCAACAAACGCGCACAGATCAACTGCTCGTACAGCTAATTGAGGAGGATGCGCGCAACATACGCTACGCGGGACGCATACAAGATATCGGTGTTCGAGCCAAGCTAATACAAGCGAACTTCACAAAAATTGCCACGACACGTTTGGCCAAAGAGCTGATTGAGAACACACTACAAAACAGGCAAGCCACCAAGCGTATACCCGCCGCGTTGCGTGCGCAATTGGAAGGGATATTAGCTGATATTACGATATATGCAAAAGTCTCTGAGGTACTGCAATTCGAGACGTGGCCACAAGCCTATGACTTCGGTATGAAAACGCCAACAGCGATTTTTGAAAAATTATTGCAGTCACATCTCTACAAACTGTGCTACAACTGGTGTCGCGTCGTTAAATTGACCCAACACTTTGCCGCGCAAAAGCAACGTTTTCTGGACGTATTGCTTCAGGCATTGTTGGAGTTCCATGATGATTTGAGTGAAAGCGGCAGTGGCTGTGGCGGCGACGATGATGGCGAAGTGAACAAATACTTACTACAGATACTCGAAACATTTCCTACGCGGGATGTTGTCAACTTTCTGGACACACACAAAGACAAATTTCGCACCGTACGCTTAATGCGTTACACCGTCGCTTACTTGATGCGTCACAATCCGACGGAATGTCAAAGTTATCGAAATTATAAAATTTCATTGGTAATTTTTGAACAGCTAACAACCGGTGAACTGGCACCATTTTGGAAACTTTTCAAACATCCACTACTTATCATTGAACAGTTGATCATGAATACGAAATTTGAAACGCTCACTAAAGTGCTTGCCGCTGTACGTGCGGCTTTGGCGCAAACCGATACCTCCGCCACGCAAGTCTGTTCATTCTGCTTCGATAAACGCGGTCATATTTACGACATACACACGCGCAGTTCTGGCACGCCGCATAAAGTGAAATTCCAACTCGGCGCCGATATTGGCGGCACCACGAACTCGGCATTTATACTACTCAATTTCAATTTGTATCAGAAGAATCACGCCATCACCAATGAGTGCATCGATCTTTTGCTACGCATATATGGCACCAAAGCGTTGGACTATCATGTCTCGGATATCGCCTCCTCCTCGGAGCGTGTATCACAGACCACCGACATGCAACAGTCTTTGGACTCGCTCTGCGGCGCTTTCCAAATACCCACTATAGCACCAACACGTGAGGATTGGGTGCGCGATGATGACGCCACGCACTGCATGTGTTGCCATCGCGCCGCCTTTACCATGCTCATGCGTCGACACCACTGTCGGCGTTGTGGACGTGTTGTCTGCTTTGCCTGCTCGGCGCATCGCATGCGCATACCCGATCTGTATGAGGATGTGGAGGTGCGTGTCTGCAATGATTGTTTTAGTAAAACTGAAGAAGCGCAGCGTAAGCGCGCACAAAACGCGGATGCTCAGACGAGAGAGACGAACGCCAACAGCGGCGATGTATCGGGTCGTGGCAGCGATACATATAAATGGCAGCTATGTGGTAATATAACGCATGATAAACTTTTGCGTGAAGAATTCTGCTATGAGCATGCGCCAAGTGTGGCGTTATGCCTCTCCATACTCGCCTTTCATCAGGGTCAGCAGAAGTGTGTGGATTTGTTGTTGTATCATTGCCATAAGTTGGAGAAGTTGTTTGTGCCAAATCCAGAGGTGGACTATGAACTCGTGGCGAAGATGATGAACTGTTTGGCGTTGGCGGCCAAGGTGAGCGGCTAGGTTTTTATAAGAGCAAAAAAGAGAAAATAAGAAATTTCTTTCTTCTTTATCCTTCACAGGTACGCGGTGGGCCGCCCGAAATTGAAACTATACGCGAACATTCCATGATTATTATGTCGGTTGTACAAAATGGTTGTGAGTCTCTGATACCGCCGGGTCCATTGAATAATCATAGTCTACGCAAGTTGGGCGATTCATTGGTGCAGGCAGAGAAATGGGATTTGGCATTTGAAGTGCATCTCAAGTGTGGATTTCCCACTGTTGGTGTTATGGCGGCCCACGGTCTGTCTTGCTTGCGTGCGGGCTGTTTCGATACGGGTGAGTACCAGCGAGTGAAAACTCCAACGAATATTTGTAATAAAATGTGGACTTTCCCTGCAATGGTGGATACACTCGATACAACTTAGAGAGTCTCTGCTTGACCACTACTGCCGACACTAAGTCGAAGTAGTACCACTTCCAGGACACATCTCGAGCATTTGTTCGAAGCCTAAAACCCGCTTAGTGGGACGGTCTTAATCACCATTAATAGGGAGCCAATCCACACCTTATCCGCAGTTCTCTTGACAGACGAAGAGGTCGAGTTGTATTGTGAGACTCCGCAAAACACTAGCCACCTTGTCCTTTTAAACCGACCGACCATCCCTTTGGTCAGAGTAAGACAACTCGTTTCTTGGACCCCTGTTACAAGTATATTGAGTTATTGTTATTGTTACACCAAGTCATCGAGTTCATCTAACAGGATGTCCATAAAACGTTCTATTTCGACGGGATCGGATCAGGGGAAGAGGAAGATTAGATGTGTCATTTCCAGAGAACATGTAAAGTGGTGGTTAGTGCCGTGAAAAGACTCTGTACATGCAGCACATATGTTGGGTCCGCTATGGGTGGTGCTTTCATTCAGAGCACGGCGTTCAAGAGAAGGGAGTCTTTGAAAGTGTTCTTCATATCTAATATATCCTTCTGATGTGACTGGGAGGAGGTTCAGCTTAAATAAGATGCCCATTGGGGTACTCCCTGCTGTAGCTCTTTTACTCGTAGCATAAATGCTTCAGTGCAAGTAATACTCCTGCGACATCAGGAGGTTTCCTGTCGCGGTCTTGAGGGCGGTGTTCTGGCGGTTAAGGGCTGTCACCCTTTCGGCGACCTAACCCTTTTTGGGTCAACAGGTAACATTAATCTAAGTTTATTGAGTGCGTCAATTCGCTTCACTTGCTCATAAATGGAACGTAGCGAATTGCAACAAACACAATCGCTTTTAGCAAAGACTTAGCGGCCGTTCTTTAACGCCATACACAGAGCTCTCTTATGTAACCAGCGTCGAATCCTTATCTTACTTTTTCTGGTCTTTACTCTTCATTCCCTTTTCAACCTTTGAAAGATGAATCAACTCTTTTCATATTCTCCTCAACCCATCTCAGCTAATACTCCGCTTCCTCTGTTCCGAAATGAACGAAACGTTCTGAGTTTCCCTAGATGATAGTTGGACTAGTCTCGAAAGGGGTTTCATTTGGTTATTTTTGTTTAATCCGTTTTGGCTCTGTAAACAACCTTTTTCATGATCATCTTAACTTGGTCAATATATCCAGGCTGGTAAAGTCTTTCGTCCCTGGTAAAGTGGTCGAGCCCTGAGTGACCGAACCCGAATTTATGTACCAGGTTCCACTTAAGTGAACTCACAAGACCTGAAATTCTTATTATATTTCTATTTAACAGCCCGCGAGAAATTCTCCTATTGTATGACTAAATTGAGTAGCGAATTTATGAACGAGAAAATCTGTAAATATATATTGTCGACAACAACAATAGCAACCACTCCCGATACGGACACCAACGACAATCCCTTTGAATATGCCCACGAACAAGATATACAAACAACAAAGAGGCCACTACGCGGCCCACCATTACTGCAGGAGATAATAAAAACCATAGAGAGTACGCCATGCGTAAAACCACAGCCAGAAACATTGAAACGGGCTTCCTTGATACGCAGCTCGAATACATCACTGGCCTCACTGTTATCGCGCCGCAAAGATGTCTGTCCGATACGCATGCACGAGCCCGCGCTGGGTATACTCAACACTCTGGCCAATTTGAAGCACATCGCCAAGGGTCAATACTCGGAACTGCATAGCAATTTCAGCGGCTTTGAAGAATGTCTCTACTATGTGCTCACCTATGGCTCACATACGGATGTATTGCAATTTCTAATGCGTCACCACGAGCTCAATGCCGCGCTGAAATACTTTCTACAACAAAGTCTCGAATCCGAATTCTTCATACATAATATCTTTCTTGTCTCACTGCGTTACGGCAATTTGCCTACATTGATGCCTCAGTTGCAAAAGTTGGACGCCAGTTTGGGTACTTGGCGTGTTACACTACTGCAGACTTGTCACTATTTGGAAACACAAAATCTCCTCAACTCGCTGTATCAACTGCAATTGCTCTTGCAGGACCCGGTGCGTGCCAGCATGACTTGCGTGCGCTTCTACTCGGCAAATTGTGAGAATTTTCAACATTTGCATGCGAACGCAATGCACCTGCGCAATGCACAGCAGCACCTGCAAACGCAATTGGAACAGACACAGTGGGAGAAAGTGAATTTGGAGTCCATGGTACGTTCCAACAGGCGGAGCTCAGTCGGTAGTCGACGCTCGAGCATGGGTTCGGGTGCGAATACGCCCACCGCAGCGAACTTCCTCATGCAAATGGATGCGCGCGCACTCAACGGTCACATCAATACGATTTCAATGCAATTGGAGGTGTCGAAATTTCTGGCGCAGTGTGATCGTGAGTTGAGCGCTGCGGATGAGGTCAACACTTTGCGAACGTTGAAGCAGGTGAGCAGGAGTATATGCTGAATTTTTGTTGATTTCAAAACTCACAAATGTTAACCATTTTTCAGTTGCGCATAGACAACTCGGGCAAGTCGAAGTTGCCCACACTTTTTGATGGCGCACAGGATCGCATACAAGTTTGCATTTTGATATTACTCTGCGGTAAAAATATCGATGAGGGTTTCGGTTTGGCCTACAGGTGGGTGGCACAACATTTGTCTTACTTTAAATTCATATTTTAAATTGTCTCTTATCTGCTATTCTTCTTCTTACCGACGTGACAGAATTATACACCACTACAAATTGCCTGAGGTGAAAGTATTTGGCGCAACTGCCAAGTTTCTCGCCTGTAATCAACGCATTACCGAAGTGGAAAAGCTACTCAGTTGCATAACCACCAATAATGGCACTCAAATGCGCGATATTGATGAGATTCTCTCGGTCGCTATCAATTCGGCGTGTAACTGTAACGAGCCGGAGGTGAAGAGTGCGTTAGATAATCTCGTTAAGAGGATTCATAGCGTGGAGTTGCGTATCTCTTGTCACATTTTTATTGGCCAATTGAAATCTGCATATCTTTTAGCGAATAAATATGAGCGTATCGGCGATATACGTCGTATCCTGCGACAGGCCGAACTCACAAATCAGGTGCATATTAAGAAATTGTGTGAGCGAAAATTGTTTGCGAATGCCGCAGCGCGTGCACACGACTAATTACATTCGGATGCATACCAAAATTCCTCGTTTAACGACTGACAAAATGGAACAAGTATACCTTCATACATGCATCCATACATACGTATCTCGATATTGTTATTAACAAAAGTATATACATATATTTAAAAGTAAAAGATGTTATTGTGATTCTTTATTATATGATTTTATCTCATTATAGGGTTTTACCAAATTTTTACATACATTCATATATGTACATATGTATTTAAAGTAATAAAGTATAGAAAATTTTACAAAGGCAAATGCTTTGAATTTTTTTGTTCCAAAAGTATTGCATAATTTTCATATTCTCATGATTCATACAGCTCACCCATCAAATGTTGTTAGAGAAAAAATAAATGAATTGATATATTGTATATATATATATATATATTTTGCATTAAATGCATCATTATTTTTATCAGTTCAAAAGTTTAATTTCTGCTCTTTAATCACAAAAATTTTTTAAACACACACTTGTAAGATTTTTCATGCTAATAGCGATTTCACACACTAGCAATGTGGCAGTGCTTGTTTACTTTCAACAGCGAGCTATTAACACAAGCCATTCTTAACCACAGCAACTACCACAGCTTGGTGCGTCCATTGATGTATTATTTATACGTCCAATACGACGGTTGGGACCGAAACCACCGCCGCCGCCACCACCACCACCTCCGTTACCGCCACCGCCGCCTCCACCAAAGCCCCCGCCGCCGCCGCCACCACCCCAACCACCTCTTCGGCTATTACTGCCGCTGCTGCTACTATGATCGTCCTTCATGAATGGCGATATTAATGCCCTGAAACTACAATAAAGGCAGTTAGTAATTTAGCATATAATTCATAGTTGGATTAGTGCTACAAAAAAAATTTCTTACAAAGTTATCAAGATGAACCAAAGGCCGGTGAAAATCTCCAATACGCGTGCTACGCTCCATGGTCGACGTTGCAAAACGCTGCCGTCTGTAAGTTGACAGAATATTTATGTACAGAATATGTTAAAAAAACCTAAATTTACTATAAAGATAAGCAATAATTTTATCATACTTATTTACAGTTAATATAAGGTGGTTAAATTTAATTAAAATCTAAAATAAATCCACCCACATTCTTGTTTTTTATTTAAACAGCCATCACAACTTGAAAGCTTGACAATTTTGCAGCTTTTTAGTCACACTAGTGGTTCAGTTATTTATTGCTAGAAGAAAGTTTTGATCTTCCGTCGCCTCATAAGCTCTTTCTGTATGCCCAGATTGTACTGGGCTTGCCTGTGCCATTTGTACTTGATCTCCCAGGCGGGTCTTACGAAAAATCGAAGCAAGTATAATGATTGAGTAAGCTCTGCTTGGAAAACGCCACAGTGAGAAGTTAATCACATACTGAAATCATTTAAGAGCGGAGCTTAGTAAGCCCCCCAACCCACTCAATTGAATCGTTAATAAAAATGGCCAAAACGGCCGTTGATTTATTATTCTACATATGCATATTGATTCAAAAAAAGAGTCAAACACTATTTCTTTGGTATTAAGCTTCTAGTAATACCCAATCGTAAAGCTCTTTGTAATTGTATTTTATCTTTTACACAGTGAAATTTAAAATTTTAAAGTTATATCTCAACAAAAGTGTATTAAAAGATAAATTTTAAAGCTATCTGTTCGTATGAGCACAAGGGTCCGAAACCACATTGTACCCACTAATTCTTATGGCATTACGTCGTTCAACTCTAAAGCTCTCGGAACCCTTAACAGGTTTCAAGTATTGATCGATTTAAAGTAATTCTACACCAGCTGCTTGAATCGTATATGTCTCAGTTTTTTTTAGTTGCTGACTCGCTCTCGAACAGTTTAAAATTGTAGCGCCGTCCGCAAGATGTTTGGAATACCTTATGCTATACCAATCTCTCATTTTCTCTTCTTATTAATTTTAGCTGTTCTTGCTTTCCTTTGTAGACCTACATAAAGGGAAACAGGGCTGTGGTCCAGAAGTGAAATTGCTGCTGTTTCTCTAGCAAGTTTGTCTGTTTTTTTTTTCGTTTCTTTCTATAATAGTATTTCTCAAAACCCAAATGAGTCGATTCAATTTTCTCGAAACATTTAATTTCCTGACATACGCGCAAACCATGTACGTTGTTTTTCTTTCGAGCATTGATTCTGTGTGTCTGCTTGGAAGATTTTAGGGCCTTTGTTCTGAGGCTCATTCTCACCGGACGAACTTCATCTAACGTCCTTGATTTCATTTTTTTTGTATAATAATACTATACTGCAGTCAATGTAGTAGATACATAAATATGTACGAACTAATGCAATACGTGTACTTTAGCAAATTCACAACTGTTTATTATCTATGAAACAGGAAGTTCAGCCATACATAAAGAAGTATAAATCTTTTACTTTTAAGTGTCCTACCTCGATCTACATAAACCATTTTGTTATGGTTTTTATTAAAAGCTTATTTCGCGATTCCAATAACAGTTTAATTAACTTGAGAAAATTATTGGATAAAGTAGTGAAAAATTTATTTTATTTAAAAGAGTAACAAAATTTAATTGAAATTGAGTTGTCAGTGTCGACTGACGTTTGCAGAGAATTGAATTTCATTTAATCACTCAGCAACTTCTTCGCATATAGATGGCGCTGTGGTAAATTACATATTAATTAAATTGGTTGATATTATTTCATGAAAAAATAATATAAATATTTGATAATATTGTGTATTCACGGAAAAATATTATTAAATGACTAAATTTATTTAATTCATTAAATATATAAAATCATTGTACTATTTGTATGCGAGCATATATGACAATGTACATATGTATGTACGCCTACTTTTGCCTTACTAACCAGCCTATCTGGAATGTATTACTCATACGACATGTCGGCATACATTTTCGTAACAATGCAATTTCGTATGTACGTACATATGTAAGTATGTATAACTAAATTTCAGAAAATTAGCAAAAGTTATACGGAACGGAATTATTTAAAAAATTGTTAATTATAGAGGTATGTATGTATATGAAAAAATGTAAATAAAACATTTAAACACACTAAATAGGTTTTTATTTTCCAAAGTAGTTTCAAGCCATACTTAAGACTAAGGTGTTTATACAAAGTTTATTCAGAAACTCTATATAGATCAAGTAAGTTAGATAAGTTGTTTATTGTTTTGTAATCGTTAAATCGATTTTCTTCCGAGCTCCTTCTTCAATTTTTGGTTTTGCGTCTTGATGAATTTCCAACAAATACAGGGGCCCACAGTTTATAAGAAACCACATCCAAACGGTTGATGGGTTTTTATGAGGAGATCTGATTTTTATGTCAGAAATATTCTCGGAGAGGTTGAGATTCCTTGCCGAAGGGTGACCACAAATAGAAAAATTAAATTAGTTTTTTGAAAATATAAATTTTTAAGTATCCCCAGTTTCGCAATCCTATAGCTCATGGGGCGGCAGTGAAACCGAATCAGTGAGAGGGGAAGCTGTTTTAGGACTCCTTTGAAACGATCTCTTCTAATCTTCAAGACTCACCACTGATAGTGACCACCGAATGTATAATGGTTTGACAGAAAACTTACAATAAATGAGTGCCGTGAGTGCTCTATTTTAAAGAGTGAAAAAATTACAATAAAAGTGCTACATTCTGATGTCTCAACTTGGAGATTTTGCCAAGATTTTCAAAAGAAAAAACGATCAGTTTAGTATAAACTTTAGGCCCCGCCATTCCAACGCAATAACAGAATTGAAGGATTGCAACGAATTGAGCGCTGAAGCCAGTTGGAGGGCATATACAAGTCACCGTTGAGGATGAAAACTGTTAATTTATGTATCTAGAGTGGCTCATACTGGCCGATCCTCCGTATGTTGCCACGCATAATGGCTTAAAACACTGAAGTAATCTGTTTGTTTACCATTTGACAATCCCTAATTTACGTTTTCATGTTTTGTTAATTTTTTTTTTTGTTTTTGCAGCTGTACTAATGCTGATATAATATAGACGTAGTAAATATTTAAATTTGAAGTTCGTGGAGTCGTAGCTAAATTACAATAAATGAGCACAAAGCGGGGTGGAAAACTTTAACTGTGTGCTTTTTCTGTTTGATATAATATTTTCTGCTTACCGATAAAGTTCACAGTTATAAAAGCACCGTTTGTCGCTTGAATCGCATAGTACTTTCTTCTTTATTCTACGAAGCACAACTACTCGTTAACCATACAACAACTCCGCTGCAATGGCTGCGAAACAAATCATTCTTCTTATCTTCACCTTTGCCATTCACACGTCGCTCGCTACAGATTATTGCGATTCCAGCTTGTGTGGCAGTTCGAGAACACATATCGCTTGTAACAATAGTGGCGTAAGTATGCGGTGATGTAAATTTTACATTTTCCTCCTATAACCTACTCACTTAATCTCTCGACAGGCGTTTGCGTCGAGCTGTCAAAATCCTGCAGATGTGCAACTGACGCAGGCGCAAAAAGACTTAATTGTACGCGCGCACAACGAGAAGCGTAATCAAGTGGCTGGTGGTGAGACTGCATTGGAGTCGGCCTGTCGCATGGCCACCATGCAGTGGGATGAGGAGTTGGCCACACTCGCTGCGCTGAATGTCAAACAATGCGAGATGAAACATGATGCATGTCACAATACGGACGCCTTCAAGTATTCTGGCCAGAATTTGGCATGGATCAGTTTCTATAATTCACCGAATGCGTCGAAATTGTCGCAACAATCCGTCGATATGTGGTATAATGAGATAAAGGACACCAAAATGGCTTATATAAATAAATATCCCAACAATTATAGTGGCCCGTAAGTAGTCTTGGTGACTCTCTTTGGTTTTTTGATATTACTTCAACTGATTTTTTTTTTAAATAATTTTTTTAATAAATTCATTTAATTTTTAGTACTATTGGCCATTTCACCGTCATGGTTGCTGACAAGAATATTCGCGTTGGCTGCGCTGCTTCCACTTTCGATGTGTCGGGTCAACCGTACAAGGGCTATCTGTTCGCCTGTAATTACGCAACCACGAATATGATAGATTTTCCAATTTATAAGGGTTGCTCCGAGGCAGCATCAAACTGTACGACTGGTAGAAATCCTGATTTTAATAACCTTTGTTCAGCATCGGAAGAATATGATGTTAATAAATGGTTTTAGGATGTAAGAAACTAGCGGTAATTTTAAAAGTATTGTAAAATGTGAATGCTCGAAAGCGCAATAAATTAGACTTAAAAACATACATATAAACAGTTCTGATTATTGGTGTACAACTTTGCTTCCGCCGTTTTTTTCCAAAATTAAAAGCTTTATTGCGAAAAATTGCTTACAGATATATTATTCAAAGTATTGTCCTTCGCTAGCAACAACTTTCTTCCATCTTTCCGTCAATTTTCCGATCTCGGCTCGAAAAAGTAGTCCTCTCCTCTCTCCTCTCCATGAAGCAATCCATTTTTCCAATTCTTCGAAGGATTGAAAATATTGATCTGCTAGGCCGTGTACCATCGAACGGAATAGGTGGAAGTCAGAAGGGGCGACATCTGGGGAATACGGCGGGTGGGGCAAGACTTCCCATTTCAGCCTTTCCAGGTACTTTTTGACCACTTTTGCGACGTGAGGCCGAGCATTGTCGTGTTGGAGGATGACTTTGTCATGTCGCTCTTGATATTGTGGCCGCTTTTCTTTTAGCGCGCGACTAAGGCGCATCAGTTGCGTTCGGTAGCGATCTCCTGTGATGGTTTCACCCGGTTTTAAGAGCTCGTAGTAAATCACACCGAGCTGATCCCACCAAATACAAATCATAACCTTGGCGCCGCGAATATTCGGTTTTGCCTTCGACGAAGAAGCATGCCCGCGCTTTCCACATAATTTTCTGCGTTTAGGATTATCGTATCGAACCCACTTTTCATCACCGTAAGCTTCTGAGAGCATTCGATACGCTTCAACTGCATTCTTTTTCGAATTGTAACAGAAAAGTAAAACTTCTCGCAAATGACAAGAATTAGGCACATAAACGGACGTTTTCGAGGGTGAATAATACGAAAACAAGAACAACTGTCACCAAAACGGCGATGACAATTCGTTAGGCACTGTCCACACTCACATTAAAGGCATTATCATCTATGTATTTCAACCAGCCTCAGCTGGTACAGCCAACTATCGGAAAACGGCGGAAGCAAAGTTGTACACCTGATATAATTTTCTTTGTGAAACGACATGATTGCTATCCATCAACACACTAAAATCATAATGATGGGCCTCGGCTCTGAAGCTCGTGCAATCCCTCAGCCGCCACATTCTGTGAGTAATTACCATAAAGCAACATATATTTCCACACATTCGCAAAGATGCCAAGCTAATTCCAGCTGTCAGAGGCTGCAGAACATGCGCTGCACGGAATATTTCCTGACCGCGGATACTCTGGCTAGAACAAGTCGTCCAGAAAGACGACAACTGTGAAAAATTCAAGAAAATATCCTCCAGTCTAAGAAGAGGAAGCGATTTTTTCCTTACATTCTTAATTGGGGTAGGCACTGCTTACGCGATTCTACCCGAATCAGCACTATTGAGCCAATCAGGAAATACCAAGTGAAACCAGGTCGCTCTCTCTTCCAACGAAATGGAGGCCTTCCTTTTCCTCTCCCTCTGCCTCTGCTTCCATAAACATTCCAAAGCAGTAGTGCTTTCCTCCATACGGACGACGTGACCTAGTCAGTCTAGTCGCTAACTATTCTATATCGTTGAATTATGTCAGTATCATCGTATAATATCTCGCTGTTGTCGTATAGAAATTAAAACAATTTTATTTTTCGATCCAGGACAAAACTTAAGAAGTTTACGTCTTCGGCAATGGACCATTTACAAAAAAAAGGCGTCTTCGGAGAAACTTATTTTTTTTTATCGAATTTTCGATTGATTCATTTGTTGAGTCTAAATAAATTCCTCCCTTAGGACACTATTACAGTTGTCGACTGGATCCATGTCTCGTCTTGCTTCACAGTAATTTGGTCCTCTACTGACAGAAAATGCCAAATTTTTACCAATACGGGCAAGGTTTTCTATTAGAGAGACATATACAACCCTATGCTGAATGAAAATTTCACGGGAAATTTCTCCCCTTTCCCTCTTCTTCTATCAAAAAAAAAAGGTTTACGGATTTTCGCTATTTTCAGTTTCTTCGTATTCTAAACTTCGAAAACGGGGGAAAATTCCCAGTGGAAAAAGTTGGCATCACCAATGCAAATTTCTATATTCCGCGATAAATTTTTCCCATGGAAGTTGTGTGGAAGTTTTTATAAAAAATGGAAGTATTTAATAAATAAAACACAAATAAACGTCCTAATGTTTTTTTTTCATAAATAATCATATTGATGGTTTCTTTAGGTCAAAAACAATGAGCAAAGTGCAGTTGGCTGATCAAAAGAAATAAGTGCGGCCCATCAACATTAAGGTCAGAAAACACCGCAGGAGGAGGCCCTTATGCAGAGCGTAGATTGTCACCTCCCTCCCTCCCTCATTGGGATGAAATAGACGGTGGAAGTGTTGCCTGCGAGGAGTTTTGGATTGCAGCAGCAGCAGACCTTGCTAAACAACGTGCAGAAGTTATTTACGTTGGAGAAGAACTCGTTGCCTCTCTACCACATTTGCTTCAGCAGTGAATAAAGGTATTATAATTCTAATTTAAGTTTTATTTTCCATAACAATTGTTTCTTTCACCAAATTTATAAATTTAACGAATACCCAATAACAATAATCAGCTGATTTCGAAAGGGAAAAATACTACTTCGAAAAAATCCGTCTCCCTGTGCAAAATGACAAAAAGTGCTCGAGCAAAATGGTGCATAATGGCGAATAAAGCCTGCAAATTAATGCAAGAAATAAGGGTCTTTTTACTAGACCCCAATATTATGTATGTATTGCCGCTAGTTTTGGAGTACTCTCCGTGGTGTATATTTTTCATACGGCCATTGCTACTGTGGCTTTGTATGTGTTACGTCAAAGTAAGGTAAGCCTACCTAACTCTGAACATTGTTGATTCAACAAAATTAAATATTTTCCCTAAAAATGTGTTGTTTATTGCAATCCAAGTCTTGAGTTTATTATTTTTAATATTTTTATTTTTATTTGACAAAATTTTTTTTTTTTTTTTTTTTTTTTTTTTTTTTTTTTTTTTTTTGGCCAAAGAAGTAATCTCACCTTGCTTATCAATACTTAAAAAAAAATTAAATAAACAAAACTTTTAATTTTTTTTATCAAAATAATTGCGTTAAATTCATACATTTTTATTTATCTTTTTTTTTATATCCATTTCTTCAGTTATGATTCACTGAACAACAACTGTATACAGCTTGAGCAAATAAACAAAAAGGTGTTGTAAGTGTAAATATACATGTATGTGTACATATGTATATTTGTATGGACATAAATTTAATTCTATCTTTTAATTACCTCTATTGTTGGGCATAATGCGTGAAATTTTTTATTTATTTCCTGTTTAACTTGTTAAAGATTTAATAAAATTTTCCGTGGTAATGAAAGAAGCTTCTTGAACCTAGGTATAGGTATATATAAATACATAAATTTACTTGTACTTATGTATGTTTGTAAAGTCGTTCATGAGTAAATATCTTCAACCCACAACTTTTACGGTTGCGACTTTAACACCAGAATTTATATATATATAAGTACATATATGAACAATCAGCGGTACCTCGGCATGTTTCGCTAAGCCAAAAAAAAACTGCTGACAATTTTTTATATTAACATTTCAATCATCTGTTTTATTTCTAAGCTTTAATTATTTATGGAATATTTATTGAAAATCTCTTTCCAAGAATCCTTATGTATTGTTTGCCCGACTGTTTGAATTCTTCTTCGAAGACTTCTATGAGGATCCTCGAACGATTTTTACTGCTCCATTGTGCATTGACCTCGAGCATTTAGTTCCAATTTAAAATTTTTGTCATCAACATTTTAACAGCTTCTTATATGATATTGCGGTTCTTTTCACTTGCCGCAAATTAAAATTTTCGAAAGGTGGCATCTCTCTTTAAAAGTCTTATTTACCATTAAGCCTTTTAACTCTCTTCGTTGCCAATAACCCATTAAGCAATTCTTTAAAATATTTTTTTCTAAACAGGTGGCAACGCTGCATGAAAATATTTACTCACTAAGTTTGCCCACAACATAATACTTTGTTTATTTTACCATTTGTTTTCAAATTTAAATGCTAAGTCGGGTGGCAACTCGTCTGAGTTTTCTTTTTATATTTTTTCATGATCTTTTAAGCACACAAAAAATTTCATTTAAATCTGTTTGGTAGTTTTGAAGGAATTCAGTCACAATTAGAGGTGTTAGATCCTCTTCGAGAATTCTGTTTCCATATGTATGATGGCCGAAATACGCTGTATAAATTTGGTTTAATTCGTTGAAATCATTCTCGAGTTATAAGGCAACAATAAATTTATAAAAGGTGTTTTTTTAGGCGTGTGGGTTGCAATGAGGCAATACTTTTTTCGCAGTTGGTCTTTATGACACCGATTAATTAATTTGTACTCAGTTTGGTTTGCCATTTAAAATGGCACTGACTTACTATGGAACTTCGACATAATCGCTCAGCAGAGTGGATCGGTTTCGCACCACAATTACTCCAGTGGATAATGCGCATCCTCAGATGCATTGCTGCTGTGGAGGAGAGTATCGAAGACTACCCGAATGACAATTGAAACTTGGCCCATCGCCCACTTTTTTGAAGATCTTGGTTCACAACATGAGTGTCCTCAAGCCATTGATGAGAGGTCGCTGTGACTGTACACTATGGCCAGAAGGAATCAAAAATTAAGTAGGTTATAATGATCAACGGGGAACACTATAGAGCCATGGCTAATGACTTTTTCGTGCCTGAACTGGAGAATTTTTGAAGTGCATAATTTTTGGCACCAACAAGACGGCGCTACACGCCTTACATCCAAATAAACTATAAATTTATTGAAGGAAACTATGGGTGAGCGCCTGTTGTGAGATTATATTTTGTAAGGTTATGTGAAGTTGCCTTCTACGCAGATAAACCCGAGACGAATAATGCCTTGGAAGAGCATATTCGGTCCACTTTTGCTGGCAAGACCCCAATCGCTGCAAAAAGTAGTCGTAGTTCGAGCTAGCCGCGGCAATCGCCCGAAATCATTTTTAAAACATAATGACAAACTCTTATCTATATAATAAAGCAAAGTTCTTGGACATAAC